TATTCAAATTTTATAAAATAGGGTTAGACTTAATCCCAATCTATTCATTCATTATATAATCTTACATCTATAAAATTAATAGTATGATAATACTGCTACTTCCATCAATTATTCTTAATTTATTAGGATTATGAATTTACTGTTATTAATTCTTGTAAAGAGTTTGCTCTTAAGTATTCAAAATGCTATTTATGAATATCTGCCTTGTTTGATAATTGAGTTTTTCATAAGTTACAATATCTTTTAAACCATACTTCTTAAAACGATTTTAGTAGACTTTTTATGTTTATTTAATTTACGATTAAGAGTTAAAATTAATGCTAAATATTTTCATTAATATAAGAATCATTCATTTAAACTAAAAACATTAAACATAAAAAGATGATGAATTTCATTTTCTAATTATTAATTAATTAATAATTAAAATAATTCAAATTTTATCTTATGATCCTAGAATTTTTAACAATTTATAGTGACTAATTAAAGCATTTAAAAATGATGGGAATTCAAAATATCTAATTAATTTTATATATATTTTACTTGATATTAGCTTATTTAGCTTTCTCTTTAATAATATTTTATATTTCTTTTAATCTAGTGTGTGCAAACTATGGAAATAAATGATGTTCAATCTATGTAATTATTATATATATATATACTTAATAATTAAGTCCACCAGATAAATGAGTCCAAATAAAAGAATCAAGAGCAAAATTAGAAGAATTTTAAATTTACAATTTACCCCAATTTGTTTAATTGATATTTTGATTATCCACAACACCTGCTTCAAGAGTCCAATGATTTACAGAGAAATACAAAGCATAATTATAACTGTGAACAGCATTATACACAAACCACATTCCAAATGCAATTTTGTATGAAAATTTTATTGAAGGATAAATTAATGTTAATGAAATCCATAAAATTTTAACAATTATTTATAAAATGATTTACAATTTAGATACATATCCTCTTCTACAAGGATAATTACTGAACCATTACATTTCATCAAAAGTTCCAAAAACATCAGTAAAATTAACAAATGTATAAATAATCCATATATACAAATGTTAATATTTATGATACCAAAATCTTTATTAAAGTGGATGTAATCTTATATATGGAAATGTAGTATCAAATGCTCTATCTAATTCTAAATGATTGACACAACTATGATGTCCAAAATTATGAGATCTTCTATACACAACACTTGTTGAAAAAGTAAGATCTAAAACATAACCAGCTAAAAATGATAATGTTTTATTTGATGAAAATGCATAATGATTTCCATCATGCATTATATTTACATCAGCCTAATAATCAATTTATTAAAATACTTATGCAGCAAAAAATCCTAATAATATTGCAGACAATAAGGTACAATAATTTATATAATAATACAAGCATGCTAAATATCCAATCAAACAAAGAAATCCTTTTAAAAATAGAATCCAATGATTTTGCCATTTATTTCTTGGAATCATTTATTCAACTTCTTCTTTTATATTTTAATAGAAATCATCATCATATGAATAATATTATTAATAGTCTCTGACCTTTCCTATCATATATTGTTAAGGAGGCTCTTATTTTGTCAATATACTAGGATGATAAGAATACCAAAGAGCTGTACAATCTCCACCTGCTCCATCAAGAATCATATTACCACTTGATTAATTATATACTAATTTACCCTGGATGATATTATAAAAATTAAGTAACATCATATATTTTATCTTTAATTACTATCCAACAATTATTAGGAGAATCATGTTTCACTATTTCACACCAACTATATTCCTAAGTTTTTTATTTTATTTATCTTTGCTTTTCTTTTTATCTCTAGTTTATTTATAAGAATCTTAATGATTTTTATTCTCTGATACTAAGAATTTCACATACAATCACAAAACAGAAACTAATAGAAAATATACGTAATTTCATAGTATCAGTAGGTAATGCAACTTTATCATAAGCAATTATTGAAACAGGTAATAAAAACATCATTTATGATAAAATGACAATATTTACAATTTTCCAGAGTACATTTTATCTCCAAATAAATATTTTTGGCAATAAATCTATAGTATATAACATAATCACTGAAATCTCCAATGTTTTCATTAATATCTGTCTTAAGTATAGGTTTTCTTCAGATAGCATATCAAATGTAGGAAATGGCCATAAATAAGCACCTATTGCAAATATTATTTTTAATATTGGCCATGCCGGTATTTTAATCTCAATCCATGGTACAAGTAGCATAATCATATGAAACAATAACAGCATTATAAAAAACCCTCTAAAGACCCGATGACTATGAACCATCAAAAACAATTAAAAAGAGTTGCTGTACTTTTTTGTGAGGTTAAGAGTCGATATTTTAAAATCGCCCATTTAAATAAGTATATATAATTTATAATCAATACACATTTTGTTATTAAATTCTTTAAATTTTAATTCAAAAGATCTTTATTAGTTAGAATATATTACATTATAAAAATCAGAATATATGAATAGAATACATTTTATATAATTATAGAATATAAATATATTTTTATTTTCTGATGATATTGTTATAAACAATAATAATTAATCAATAATTCATTCAGGTTTACTCTAAAATTTTAAATTTATATGATCATGCAATGCTTTTTCTGCAATTTTACTCTATTCATCTTACCAATGACCGACTACTGCAATTAAAGGAAAACATGCTACTAACCCAACATTATATAAAATATGCTTAGTAAATTTCTTTTTTGAAAATACTTAATTAAATGAAAATGTGTACCTTTTGCACAAAATCCAGCTGTAAAAGTAAAAGCTAAAGTATTGGATAGCATTCTTATCTATCCATATTAACGCAATTCTGGAAGAGTATCTTATAAGCTTTTATGATCATCCAAGTATTTATGTCTTGCCTTCATAAATATAATTTAATTATTTTATAATAAATAGATTAAATAAATTTTAACAATATTATACTAATTGTATAAAAAGTTCTTTATAATTTTTAGATTCTTTAACTATTGAAAATAAAATTAAATTTCATGTATTTATTCAAAGTAAAATAGCTGTTGATTCTAATTTTAACTTTGATTATATATATTATTAATATTTTAAAAATTTTGTGATAAAACGCATTGCATAACAAGAAAAAAAAGTTTTATATTTATATTTTTAATGGGTGAAATCTGATTTTGAGGTTGTAAACCTTATGGTTATTATTAATATAGATAATTTCATGTTAAATAGCACAAATAAATATCAAAAGGATCATTTATATAATCTTTAATAAAACTCGATAATGTAAAATTAATAATCAATATCGCATGACCTAATTTAATTAGGATCCTTGTTACTAATACAAATATATTGGTACGAACATAGCACAAGGATAAGCCATAGGATATTAAATAAACTAATTTTGATATAATGGCATAAACAATTGCATGTTTTATTCTTTTGGAACTTGTTAATAATTAGTTTAAAACGAAGATTCTTATTTGATTGGATTAGTTATTTACTTTTCTTATTTTTATTCACAATAATTGGATTCATTTAACTTTTATTTTTTTTCAGGTACAATGTAATATGGGTTTTTAATGTTTAGATATTTGTTTCTTAAGTAGGAATAGAATCTATTTTTTATACTATTTTCTGATCTGTTGTTTAAATGCTTGCTAATCTGACTCCATTTACCACCAAGCTTTTTATAAAATTCTACTACTATTTCATCTTCTTCCTTATTCCATGGTTAATTATTAATATCTGGATGTAATTAGTTAAGATAATGTTCTCTTATCTGCTTTCCAGTTCTTTATGGAAGAAAAGAACTAATTTTACTCCAATGATAACCAAATTTAGCAACTAAGTCAATAAGTTTTTGATTTTCTTCTTCAGTCCATTACTTTCTTAACTTGAATCCTTTAATTCGTTTCCATCTCTATGCACATTATGATGGATTTCTTCCATCAATTCTTCTTGCCACCTCAATCCAATCTAAATTGTTGTTTTTTCTAAGTTCTGTCAACAGTTCATCCTCCTTGGTGGTCCATGGTTTTCTTTATGGTATTGGTGTGTATGAATTTGATGATGAAATTGACATTTATTTAATTTTTGAAAATTAGAAGGAAAGGGTTATTAAAATGAATTCAGTTTTTTCTTTAATTCAGTTATTTCAAACTATCAACATTTTAATTGATATAAAGTTTTATAAAAATCTTATTTAATACAACATCTTTTGATCTATTTTATTCAAATTACCTATTATCTAATAACAAAACAAACCAACAATTCTAAATTTTATCATATTACTGAAACATGTTAGTTTTTACATTTCAAAGTAATTTTTAAAATTTATCTTATAAAACTCTGAATTCCCTTAGAAAATGTAATTGCAACTATTTAATTCTGTATTTAAACTCTATAGTAATGATTTCAGTCTTTTTAAGCTATTTTTTATATATTTAATTTTAAAACTAAGCATATTGATGTAAATGTCTTAGAATGCAGTGTTAAACAAAAATCTCAAGCTTTAACTCTAACTAATAAAGTGAGGCAATATAAATTTACAAGTTCAATAATGAAAGAAATTAAAAAACAAATGTAATAGGCTAATCTTTACAAATCAATAAAGAGATGTAAAAATTATAAATATCTTAATAAACTTGTTTGTCATTGCTTATTCATCTACATATATTAAGATTTGGAGTGAATTTAATAAAATTTGGATTGACTAATTGAACTTTTCCAAAATTATGTTTATTATTAGTAACAAATTATTTCTTATGTACTGCTCTCCACACTAATAAAATTCATTTATATTATCATATGGAATAAGAAATTTTCTTATAGTATTAATAAAAATGAATGATATATTTGAAATTAAAATACATAATTTTTGAGAATATTTTTAAACAATATTTATAGAATATTATATTATTAAATTCGATAATAATAGAAGTTCATTAATATATCAAAATCTATTTTTTAATTCAATTCTAAATAAAATTAGGAGATTCAAGTAAATGACACTTATCATCAATTTGAACTAAATCAGGTTCATCTTTTGCATGTATACTATTAGCTTTATTTGCAGCTGCTGCAGCTAAAAACATTTCTTTGTTTTCAAAAGAAATATAAACATTACTACTAAGTTTTCTCTTTGTACTTAATAATTCTTATTCATCTGTCTCAATTTTAAAATTAGTTTTTAGTAATTTTTTAACTTTATTTAATTTTTATAATCTATCATCTAATTCAAATATTTATTGACTACTAGAACAATTATTTATAGTTTAAGTATGTCCTTTTAACTTTTCCTTATATTTCTAATATAATATATATATATATATTACATTCATTATTTATTTAAATGGTTTAATTGACATATTATTAAGTATATTAGATTCATTTGATTAAATATCAGATAAAATAGAATTTAATTCATTTTAAACTTCATAGACTTATTGTAAATGATTCTATGATTGCAATTATTATAGTAATTTCATTGATTAAATATTTATCATATATAGCAATTATTATAATTCTGTGTTTAATGTATTAAATTGAGTTTAATATGTATTTCCTTTTGCATTGTCAATAATAGATTAACATTCTTATTATAATGAAGATAATGATTTTTAAAAGTCTTTTAATTCTTTTGCTTTATCTTCAGTATCATCAGTTATACTAGTGAATGTATCAGTTGACTCTAATAAAAATGGAGAATTTGATAATAGAGAATTTTCATCAACAGACCAAAAATTAGCTCGACTAACAGATTGATTTTCTCTTTTTTTATTTGAAACTTGTTTAACTTGATAATTTTCAACAGGAAAAAGAATATTTCCTTTAATCAATTTTCCAACAGAACATTCTGAACAATAAAAAATAGCTCCAATACTACGATTATATTCAAAAAATTTTGCCTATTTTAACAGCTTTTTATACTTTTTTATTTGCATGATAAGCACATCTAAATTAGTTTCCTTTTGTAAATGATTTTTATTTTTATTCTATTGGTGATAAACTTAAGACTTTTTATCCAACATTTTATGAAACACTAACTTTATTTCTACTATTAGTTTTTCTAGTTTAAAGTACTTGCTTTAAAAATATATCATCCATCATTTTCTTAGGAGATACCATAGATGTAGGCAATGATGTTTTTTCTTTTTATAAATATATTGAAATACTTTTAAGGATATTTGAATTTTGATAATATTAGAGAAGAGAATTAACTTCATTAAACAAATTTATATTTTCTTTGTTTTTGTTTCTTTTTTTAGTTGATTAATTTGTAGATTAATTCATTAATGGGCTGCTTTCTTCTTTATATAATTGAATTATACCTTATTATTAGGATGAGAAATGCCTACTTTCTGACATTTTTTTCATAGCGTTCATTAAAAATATTCGTTAAATAACAAATAATAAAAATTTGATATCAAAAAATTGAAAAAAATCAAGAACATTATTATCTTTTTTATTTCATAGTTTCCCTAAGTTTCTAATCCATTTCTTTAACTTTTTATTTTCTTGATTTAATATTCTCATTTTTTTCTTATTCATCCTTTTTTTTCTTTACTTCAGGTAATAATTCATAATTTTTATTTGTTAACTCTTTCATTTCTTTCTTATCTACTTTTACTTTTTCTCCCATAGCTAATCTTTTCATTAATGATGCTCTTTTATCTTCTTATTATTCAATAGGTCTTAATTCTTATTCTGATGGTTCCTATTATGATTCTTCTTATATTTATTTTTCTTTTTCTACTTATCTCTTACTTTTAAGCATTTCCTTTCTAATTTATATTAATTCTTCTTTAGATTTTCCTCCTTTCTCAATTGTTTTTGAATCTTATCTATTTTCAAATTTCTTAGCTAACATAGCTTTTCTCTTTTAAAATATTTCTCCTAATGTTTCTTCATATTCTTATTAAACCAAATCCTATAATTATTCTGATGATTATTAGAGTGAATATTTCATTTATTCAGAATCAATAGAGTCTTTTTTTAATGAAGATTCATTTTATTATGGAAGAGGAGGTGAAGTTTATTAAAATTCATATTTTTTAATTGGAGAAGTGACATTCTTAACTTCACTTAAGGAATAATTTAATTCAGAATTAGGTGAATTCATTTATTATAAAGTAACAAACTAAGATTATTTCTATTAACTTGAAATAGTCTATTTTTATGAGGATTAAGGATCAGCAAATAATGATAATTATTTATTTTAATTATTTGTAGTTTTTTTTGGTTTTAAAAACTATTCCATTATATCTTAAGTATCAAAATTATCAATAGTTTCAAAATAAGAACTTTTTTATAAATTTTATGTTTCTGGACTAGTTTAATCTTAATTTTAGAATTAAGATTATTATTAAAAAGATTATTATTATCTATCACTTTCTTCTTGATTCATTTAAGATGGTGATTATTAATAAGATGATTCATCTTCTGATTCTTCTGGGATTGGTTATTTAGAAAATTATTATTTTCTTGTATTTTTAAATGATTAAACTAAATTTGATTCTTCTTCTTTAATTTTCATTTTTGTATTTATTCTTTATTATTCTAATTTTTATAAATATTATTCTTATTCTTTAATATATAATCTTATATCTTATATCTAATTAGATTTTAATTAAGGTGGAGAATCAACATCACTTTATTATTCTTCATTTTAATCTTCTTAATCTGTTTCATTTATTTATTCTTCTTAATTATTTTATTCTTCTTCTTCTTCACTATTCTCATTTGAATGTACAAGCTCATTATTAAAATGATGTTAATAAGGTGATTTTGAATTTGATATTTTTAGAGTTTATTCAATTTCTTTATTCTAAAAACTTTAAGGTGATTCATTCTTCATATCACTAAATTAAACTTTCTTTTTTTGAGAAGTACTTTAATCTTCTGATCCTATAGCATATTTTGTATAATCTTCTTTAACTAATGATTCTTTTTATGGATCATTTAAAAGATTTGTATCTAAAGGAGCTTTAGTAAAGATCTTAACAGATTTTGGTCTTTATTTTTCTTTATTTTTTGTTGTTAATGATTTTTTAGGTGAATTTGATCTTACTCTATGATCTCTGACTTCTATTGAAGAATTATTACAATTAAACATTTTATCAAATTCTGTTGATAATAGTTTTTAATGATTTTTCTCAGATTTAGGTTTTCTAGTTGGAGGTTTAGTTTTTTATAATTAAATAATTTCTTATTTTTTTATGAATTTAGTTTCTTATTCTAATTATTCTAAAACTTTTATTTATCTCTCTTTAGATAATGCCTTTTAACTTCTTTATTTTTATGCTCTTTCTTATTCTCTTTTCTATCTAGCTTATTCTAAAAGCATAGCTTATGTTTCTATCATTGTTTAATTTGCTTTTTCCATTGCATTTTCTTTTTCTAAATCTATATCATGTTTAACTACTTAAGGATTATGAAAACATGTATTAGCAAAATCTTCAGGCTTTAAAATTTATCTACGTGATATATTTTTATCAAATTTTTCATAACTTTCAAGATCTTATGTAAATGTAGATTATGTTTTATTTTTTGATGTTTCTTTATATATAGCTACAGATTAAGCTTCTTTTTATTTTTCAATAATTGATGCTTCTTTTCTTTAATTCTATATTTAAAGTGCCTTTCCTTATGATGTTTCCAAAAATGATTATTTTTTCCATTCTTAAGCTTCTTGATATCTTTTTTATGCTTATTCTTCATAGTAAGCTTACATTTTTAACTTTTCCTACTATAATTCATATTCTCTTTATCTATATTCTTCAGCTTCTCTTGCTTATCGTTATTATTCAAGTATCGTTTATTAACGTGCTTACTCTAATTATTCAATCTAAGCCTTCTTTTATAAATATTCTTAATATTTTTATTTCTTCATTTCTTCCTCTTATTATTTTTATTATATCTATTATTATTATTGTATTTTCTTTTTGGTTAAGTCTGTTTCTTATTTACGAATCTATTATATATTTATATTGTACCTATTGCATTCTTTAAGCTCTTAATTGAGTGTTTTATTGTTAAGCAAATAATTCAGCTTCAAAAGTACCAATGAATCCTGTTTTAGTTGACACTTTAGTTAGCCTAGGTGAGAATTAACTCATTAATTTTAAATAATATTTATAGAAAATAATTTAAATGACAGTTAATTAATTTGTAAAATAAAATTATATATCTAATCTGTCATATATTAGAATATAAAATTAATAATAAGACTTCTAGAAAATTAAAACTTACTTAAAAGAATCTTAATATTATAATATATAGTTTATCAAAATGTAAAATATTAATTATATATTAAATAAAGAACATACTAAATATTTTAGTCTAACAAAATATAAGAATTATATAATAGATGTAAAATCATATCTTTAAATTTTAATATTCTTTAAATAGATCAAAATGCTTAGACATTTATTAACAAAATTTTACAAAAAATACTCTTTTAATTTTTTTCTTTATTAATTTCATAAGATTTTTTAACATTCTCATGATTAATTTATAATATATATAAGAAATTTTTTAGCTAAAATTCTTTATAATTATTAAATTATTCCTCTTCTGAATTCATTTTATACAATAGACTTACAAATTAAACCTATATCATATTTAAAAAGTAATAAATAATTTTTTAAAAATAATTAAATAATAATCTATAGAAATATGAAAATTTATAAAAAATTCTTGAGTAAAAAATATAAACTAAACTGTTAATTATAGCATTTTAGTTAATTTCAAAATCCTATCTAGATGTAATTATTTTTTCAATTTTAAATCTATTAAATATTGATTTATTAATTATAATTTCTTTTTTTTGAGTATATATCAAAAATGAAAATAATTTGATAAAATATTTATAATTTATCAATAAAAAAGTGTAACCGGAGCACCTGTTTCGTATAGTGATTAACCACTTAAACGAGGTTTCAATTTTTTGATTAATAATTTCAATTGTTATATCAAATCAAATATTAGAGAAATTGCTAAAATCATTGTTGAAGTAAAAATATGAACCCAACCTAAACTTATGCATTATTGCAATGTTAAATCCAATTCAACTCTATTTTAATATATCAAAAATGTTAAAACATTAAAGATTAGAATAGCTTCTGTTGACACCATTTTAAAATATTCATAGTTATTTGTTAATGGTTTATTCATAATCAAATAACACAAAAAGAATGATTAATTAATTGCTACACAAATAGTTTATAGTTATCCTTCTTTTTACATAAAAACAATAATAGATATGAATATTTGCTTTTTAATTAATAAGATAGAATTATATTACATTATCCAATATGATTTTTGTTCTTGAATTCCTTCAAAAAGTGCATCATATTAAACCTTTTTCTTTAAGCTTGTTGAATCACTAAAATGATGCATAATGCTAAAAGAATAAATTGATATGCCTAAATAAGATAAGAATACAAAAAGTGATAGATAAGAATTAAATATTAATACAGGATCTTCATACTAAAAATAAGTTAACTAAATTGTTGTTGCAAAACAAATATCATAAGCATTTGACATTAAAATTCTCAAAATTCCATTATAATAAAATTCATTGGCTTTCTTTTTTAAGCTTATTCTAAATTCCAATATTTTTTTTCCAATACCAAAGGATACTTTAGAAATATAATAAGGACCTAAACGATAAAGAGCAAAGTGAGAATAATATGTAATTAAATATCCAGAATATGCTGTAATAAAGCAAAATAAAAAACTCTGGAAATTTAAAAAAAAATAGGCATTGATTTCATCTTTTTCAAATTTGGATTAAGTTTTAATAAAATATGTAGCTTCACCATCAAGAGAATTAAAAAATGCATCAATTCCTAATGTTTTCATTAAAGGAGAGATTGTTACTAATTTGAACATATCAAAATAAATATTCAAATTATTTGGAAATTGTATATTCACGTACTTAATATATGACAAGTATTATAACTAATCCATTAAATTCCAAAATAATTCAGTAGAACCTGTTAATAAACAAACTGAAGATATGGCTGCTAATGAATATATTATTGCCTCATTAAAAATAGTAGCACTTTCAGCAATAGCCTTTTAATCTGCACTTAAAACCATAGGTGTTAACAATTAAAGAGATGCTTAATCCTCTTTTAATGTTAAATTAAATTCTGATATGATTGGATCATTTAAAATTTTAACTTATAACACTGGTAAATTGATAGGAACATAAAAATTAATCATAAATTTAATGACAATTTCAGTAATTTCATCATTTGATTTTTCAATAGAATGGGTAATCAAATAATCACTAGTTTTAAGATTTTTAATTTCAGTTAAGATATTATTAGAGATATCACTTATATTATTTCCGTTTATCTTCATTTTTTAATCAAATACCAAATTGACTTCTTCAAAATCTTCAGGCACTTTTGTTATTAGAATAAGTTTAAATCCTGGCATTTTAGAATAAAAGCAATTTGAAGAGCTTCCTTCAGTATTTAGACAAACAAAATTTTTTTCAATTTAACAAAATTCATTACATCCATCTCCTTTTTCATTATTGCCATCATCACATTATTCTGCTTATTTAACAAAATAACCATCTCCACATTGAGTTATGCAAATATTCTTATCTAAACTTCTTCCTGATTCACACAACCAACATATTCCTTCTTAACAATCAATACAATATTAATCACATGCATATTAACACAGATAACAACCATCATTTAAATCATCATTCATATCATCGCATTTTTCATTTCCTGTTACTAAACCATCTCCACAATAAGGTTAACATTTATTTCTTTCAATAATCCAGCCTAAATTATTACATTCATAACATATTCCAAGTTCACATAATGTACAAATTTCTTCACATTAATAGAAACATTCAAAACATCCATCATATTATAATTTATTTGCATCATCACATTACTCATACCCAAAAACAACATAACCATCTCCACAAATAGGATTACAAAGATGATTCATTAAGGTCCAACCTTAAATGTCACATTCATAACATATTCCTTTTTTACAATCAGTGCATTGTTCTTAACATTAATATTTACATTGATAGCAACCATCAAAAGGTATTGCATTACCATCATCACATTCTTCATATCCAACAACTAGTTTATCTCCGCAATAAGGAAAACAATGATCCCATTCTAAGTACCAACCAAGAGTATTACATTCTTTACAAGTACCTTTTAAACATTTTGTACATTGATCTTAACATTAATAAAAGCATTCAAAACATCCATCTTCACCTTAATCATTACCATCATCACATTATTCGTTACCAATAACTAATCCATCTCCACAAAAAGGTTAACATTATCTTTATATTAAATTTAATTCCCAACCTATTCCTTTACACTCATAACAGTAACTATCAATACATATAGTACATTATTAATGACATTAAGATTTACAATCAGAACAACCATCATTTACAATATTATTACCATCATCACATTATTCATCATGAGCAATGATACCATCTCCACAAATGCTAAAACATTCATTTTTCTTTTTATTTAGATAATATCCTTCTTTACATAATAAGCATTTACCATTAATACAATAATCACAATATAAATCACATTAAAATTTACATTTATAACATCCATCATAAGCAACATCATTTCCGTCATCACATTCTTCTTCCTATGATTATATATAATCTCCACATTATGAAATGCAAATATTTCTATATATATCTAGATATCCATATCCAGAACTTCTATTGCAATCTAAACATATTCCTTTAAAACAAGTAGAACAATTTTAAGGACAATCAAATTTAGTTTAAAAACAACCATCTAATGCAGATAGATTAAAATCATCACATTATTCTGAGCCAACAACTATTCCATCACCAATAATTTCATTACATTAACTATTAGAATTGAAATATCCAATTTAACATTATTTACATTTTCCAAATTCACATTTAATACAAGCTGTTTAACATTGAAATTATGATTAATAACAACCATCATAAGGAATTATATTTAAATCATCACATTATTCTTAACCAACAATTAAAGAATCTCCTGAAATTGGAAAACAATATTTATCAAATGTATTCAATTACCATCCTTTTTTGCATTTATCACAATATCCATAATAACAAAGTTCACAAGAATCTTAACATTAAAATCTACAATTTTAACAATTAAAACTAATTAAATCATCACATTCTTCATAATTAATAACTATAATTCCATCACCACAAATAGGTTCACATATCATTTCAATAAGATTATATTCCCATCCTTATGTATTACATTCCAAACAACCTTAATTTGAACAATTAGTACAAGAATCTTAACAACTAAATTAACAATTATAACAACCATCAAATTTTAAATTATTCTAATCTTCACAAATTTCCATAGGTTTAATAATTTGATTATCACCACAAATATAATCAATAATACAAGAATTTGTTCTACTTTCTACTTTATATCCATATTCACATTTCATACAAGTTCCTTTAATACATTCCAAACAATATTTATTACAAGAATATACACATTAATCACAACCATCTAAAGGTTCTTAATTAGCATCATCACACTCTTCTTCTTGAAATACTTTGATAGCATCTCCACATTCTGTAGTACATGTGTTATCACTTTATAAATACCAACCATTAATTTCATCACATTTGAGACAATTTCCAAAATAACAATCAATACAATATAAAGAACATGAAAATTTACATCCAAAACATCCATCATATTAAGTTAAATTATTATCTTCACATTATTCAAATTTTGGAATTATAATATTATCACCACAAATTGAAGCACATTTATTCTAAAATAACATATATCCTTCTTAACATAATAGACATTATCCTGATACACAATATGTACATGGTTCATCACATGTAAATTTACAATTATGACAACCATCAAAAGGATTGTGATTTGCATCATCACAATCTTCTCCTTCAACAACTAAATTATCACCACAAATAGGTAAACAAGGCAAATTGATACCATCATCATAATATCCTATTTAACAAACACATGTATTAAATGAGATTGCTCTATAAAAATCAGAGACACAAGATATACAATTATTTTTACTATTCCCATCACAATTTTCACAATATTTATTACATTTTTAACATGAAGTTCCTGATAGATAATGAAATGATTAACATAAACAAATTCCATTTTATAATTCAAATTGATTTACTTATTAACATGATGTACATTCATCTAAATTATTACATGTAAGACAACCAATTTAAGTGCAAGTATTACAAATATATGTTTCTGTTGTAGGATTAAATGTTTAAAATTAATTTGAAGCACATTATGAATTAGTATAACCAGATTACCAAACATTACAAACTGAATCACTTGAACAATCAGTACAAAAAGGAGGACACTTTTTATAATTTAATGAATAAATACATAATGCACAACTATAAAATACTCTGATATAGCACAAAACTCTTATCTAATATCTGAATCACCTCCTGTACATTAGAGTTCAAAATTCAATGGTGATGTTTTAAATGGATTTATGGGAATATTAAAATGCCTAGTTCTTTCTTATTTACTTCTACCAATAATATTTTAACCTCCAGAAGATGGTTTAGGAAATGCAACACTTAAATCAGTTCCAATTTTGTAATAAAAATTACCAGAATATTCATCACCATATGTTAAATTAAATCTTATGGTTACAGCATAATGAGGTTTAGAGATTACCCAAGATTTAATATAATTGGCATTGTTCCAGACCATAATACCTCCTAAAACAAACTTTTTGGGGAAAAATGAAAATTTTTAACCTGTTTTAAAATTAGTAGTTGGATTAGTAACTGAATCAAAAAAGGTTGAGATTTATTAATCTGTCATATTCATATCATAGAATCCTTTTGCTAAATATCTGGAATCTAAAATAAATAATATAATTACAAGGTATGATATCAGCATAATCTACACAATTTGATGAATAAATAGGACATTCAGAGACACAACCATTTTAATATAATTTATAATTAGTTTCACATTGTTAACAATCATTAAAAGTAGAACATATTTTACAATTTTCTTAACATAATCCTGAATCAATGGTTACATTATTGAATCCCCATGATTCTGTACTTTATTATAATTTACCTTATAAAGTTAATTATGGTGAATTAGAAAATGATTTAAGAATAGCTTCTATTCTAATTAAAGTATATGGTTTTGAATCACAATTATCTGTTTTAGTATATATTTTAGTGCATTAAATGCATTAAAATTGTGATGATTATTATACTAATTAAGTTTAAAGTATATCATCTAAATAGATTTAAATTCTACTGTCAATTTAGAGACTAAAAAGGTAAAATGTGATTCTTATTCTAATAAATTTTAAAGCATTTATGTTTGCCATTTTTAAAAACATTCCTTCACAAAATTTCATTTCTCCAACAAAATCTTTACCATCACATTGATCAAAAATAAGGTCAGTATTTGAATATTGTAATAAATCTGGAATAAAGACAAATGGTGTATATCTAGGATAATTAGATAATGATATTTAATTAGAATCAAAATATTTAACGTTTGATTTAATTCTTCTGTCAGATACACAAATATTATCTGATTAAGCTATGAAATAATCTCTCTCACATTCTTGTCTACATCCAATTGTTGTTTAGGAGAATTGATGATCAGATGGACATGAGCATTATCCTGATGATACAGAATTATAATAGCATGATTGACATGAAGTTTTTGATGCACCATTACAAGTTTTACATGTAGGGTAACAAGTATTCACATAAATTAGTAAATTTCTGATAAACACTTTTACGTCATCTTTTTCTGGATCTAAACAGAAAGTAATCCAAAATTTTTCAGCATTATTATCTATTATATTACTGACAACAGTAATTAAATCAAATTCAGTATCTGAACCTCCAGTACAAATTCTGTTAGATTTTTATGTTAAATCAGATTCTTTATAATTTTTTTCAAAAAGCATATATGGTGAAGAATCTTCTTAATAATAAACCTTTAAACTAGAAGATTTATCTTTATCTGCTCGACTAAAATATGCATCAAAGATTATTTATGTTTGAAAACTTTAATATTCATATTACTTATAAAGTTTTGCTTTGTCTTTTTTAATTAATGCATATTCTAAATCATTTACAGAATCAGCACATTAATCAGTTTAGAAATCTTATTCACAATTGTCTCCACAATCTGAGCAGCGTTTCTTGACTTACCAATTATTTTCATCAATTGAAGTATCATTAAAGTTAGAATCTATTTAAATCCAATCTCCATTTATCGAATAGAGCCATATGTTAAGGAGAATAAGTTATTTAATAAATGAGATCATTTTTATAAATATTATGAAAATTCATCTATTTAGTTTTTATTACGAAATCGATAGATCTCGTCATTTGAGAGAATTTATGATAAAAAAGTTTATAAATATTTTAGTTTCTTCAATAAAAATAGTGAATATTATGTTTTTAAAAGACATATACTTATTTATGTTTACTAAATTCAAAATTAGTGATCCATAAATACATATTCCTATAATAATTAATATTCATTAATATTATTAAATTTTTATTATTTTATTCCTTATTATATAATTATAATAATTTAAATGTCATTTATAAAGTTTATATGTTTTCAAATAAAATGAACTATTAAGTAAAAAAGTATTTTGCAACTAGGTTGACTAATATAAAACAAAATTTTTATCACATTATTATAATACCAAACCATTTATTTATACAAGATATTTTCTAAATTATACTTTAAACCAAAAATCTAACTATTATATTAAATACTCATTTATTGTATATAAATTTAAGTCTTATTATTATTTTTACATTTTTTATTTAATAATATTAATATATCATTCCTATCTCTAAGTTACTGCTTCAGCTGCATCCTTATGAGATATCATAATCTCAAAATTTCTTAAAAATGTTGGTAATGAATTTTCTAAATATATTTTAAATTAATGGATGCAATTTGGAGTAATTTCATTTGTTCTGCCAACATATTTCCAAGTTGATTGAACTAGTTTTTGGGGTTCTACAATAAATAAACCTTTTCTATGCCTTATCATAGCTGTGCTTACATAATAGGGTTTTAATGTTAAAATGTCAATATTCTTATGGTTCCTTAGTTCTAATGCCAAAGCATCAAAAAAATTAGCCATTCCAACCTACATACTTTCAATTCAAATACTTTAGATGATCCATAACCAAAGAAATATGGAAATGGATGATATGATGAAGCAGAACTTAAATTTAAAATTAAAGATTAGTATTTATTCCTTAATAACATTTAATTGATTACAGCTTATGTTACCATAATTGGTGCTACAAAATTAATATTAAAACCTTCAATAATATTTTTCATAGGTAATCTATCAAATATTCCAAAAGAACCTTTGTTTGTTCCAACATTGTTAATTAATATTGATATATCTAATTTAGAGATTTCTTATTAGAATTTCTTATAAAAATCTGCATTATCCCCTTAACTGAAATCAATTAATATAGTTTTCACCATTAGGTCACTCTTTATTTATTTAATTTCTTATTATATTGAATCTAAACCAGCCTAGTTGAAATCTACAATTATCAAATTAAATCCCTTTCTAGCTAAATCTAAAGCAAATTCTCTTCCAATTCCTCCAGCTCCTCCAGTTATTAGTGCATATGATCCCTTCCCATATCTATTTGCAATATCCACTTATTATAAACTTAAAGTTGATATAATAGCTTTTGTTCTTCTAAAAATGAATTTAGTTGTTAGATATAATCCTAATATTACTAAATGAGGATCTATTCTTCTTTTATTTCTTGAGTAAAATTTAAGAGCTCTATTTATTATATTATTCATAATTTTAATTTATAGATATAATTAATAAATTCTAAATACATAAAGAATAAAATTATTAAATATTAGTATTCTATCTCTGTAGTATATAATCTAAGAATTAATAATAAAATATATATAAAATTTTTAATTTAGTTATCCAATAAATCCATTTATTGTAGTTAATAAATATTATAAGTTTTATAGTATAATTTACCTGTTTATTGGCTAAGAAATTTAGATATTAATTTTTATATCAAACTTTCTTGCCTTTTTTTATTCCATTATACTTTATTCATTCATAAAATTAAAGCATCATTTATTGGACCATCATATTTGAAATTTGATGTAAATTTAATAAATTAATTATTTCCAATCTTAATTGAAAGTGAGTAATTATTATTTTTTTTTTTTTGCTTTCAATTTGGAACTAATGTAAAATTGATTATAAATTAACATTTATCTAATAAAAGTTGAATACCATAATTAAGTTAATTTTATTATAGTCTTTTCTCTTATTAATCATATCATTTGACTTATTTTATTATAGATGTATTAATTATTAATTGTAATAAATTATAATGATATATAATATATAATGAGATAATAAATATAAACATTTCTGGATATTTAATTAAATTCAAAGGTCTATGTGAATGTTAATACTTTATTAATAAAAGTTATCTCATTTCATTTTAATAAAATAGTTTAAATATATAATATTTATATATAGTTTGAGTTGTAACAAATAATTCAACTTGAAATATAAAAAAATATAATTAAAGTCTTTAATACTAATCTTAGAGAAATATTTTAATTATATTTTATATATAGTAATGATCATAGTTTTGATATAAATTCTCTTTACGTAGACTTTGAGTAATAGAATCACAAATCCACCAGTGAAAATTATAGATGAGTCGTTTACATCAAATGATTTTTATAGATAGGCATCTGAAATTATTGAAATACCTTATGGAGCGTAATATATATAATCCATATAATCTTAGTTATCCAGGAGTTTTTGCAATTGACTTACACCAAAGAGTGTAAGGAGAGATTAGCAATAAAAGCATTAATTTAGGAGACTTTGAGAAAGTAGAAGAAGATCTTTTAGAAGAAGATGGTTGTTTTTCAATTTAGAGGAACATTGAGATCAGTATGAAATTAAAGCTTTGGCTTGACAAAAAAGGATTAACAAGAGATATATATTGTACTGATGTTGCCTTGGCTGAAAAATTTAGGAAGGCTTATGTTGTTAGAAATGATTTCTAGATTCTATAAGTGGATTTGAATTATGGTCTATTCAAATTATCACTAGACCCAATTTAAACTTCATTTGCAAATATGCTTGACTATGATGATGAAAATAATGATTACCATCCTTATTTAGTAGGAGATAAGAAATCAGATAAAGTATTTATATTTACAACAAATGGGGGTTTGAGCTTCGAGACTAATTCTAAATTAGATATAGAATTTAAAGTTGAAAATGAAATTAAAAAAAGAGATAAAATATACAATGTTCACTATAACGAAAAGCATTAATTAATATTTGTGGCATGTGGATATGAAGGTGTAGATATATATAAAATAAATAATGGAAATTTAGAATTGTTAAGAGATATATCAACAAATTATTTAGGAATTGATAGTTAAATAGTTGATGTTAATAGTAATGGAGAAGATAGATTATATGTATTAGATTTAGAGAGAGGATTAAAATTTTATTGGATTAAAAATCTAATGGAACTTGTATATGAATTTACAATTACTATTTCGCATGCTCATAGTTTTGATTTTTATGATAATACATTTTTTATTGTGGCAAAAACAATCAATAAATAAGATTTTGCAATAGAGGTTTTTGTTAATTAAGTAACTTACGATTATTATATTAATAATTATTTCTATGATGAAATGACCATAAATGATGTAAATGTCTTTTAATATTATGCTGTTTTGATTGGAGATGATGGACATAAGATTATTTATCATTCAGTTTATGAAGGTATAGATAAATATTATTAAATAAAGGTTTTTTAAATGAAAATTTAGTTTCTCATACTACATTCTATTAACCTAATTTGATAAAGGTCAAAGAATTTGAATTTGAAGGAGAAGAGTACTCAAATCAAAGAATATTTGCAGCAATTAGTAAATATGAATTCTAATTAATTAATATAATAATGAATATGCCTAAGATATAATGTAAATATAGTGATGCTGGTGTGAGATAGTTTTATGTTAAGATTAATTCAACTAGCTGTGCAAAAAAGGAGAAAGAGAATAATTTAAATTATTAATTTACTTTATGTAATGTATCTCATTCATTCACTTTTACAACAACAGAAGTATGTTTGATATTAAATATTATTAGTTAGCAGGAAATTATAATACATATGCTTATTACACTTTAACATTATATGTGTTAATAGTAGCTAGTATATGGGTAGTTGTTCTTTTGTATTATTTAATAAAGAAGTGGGGATATAAAATAAAATACTTAATTTGGAGAAAGAAAATTGTAGATGCAACTGCTCCATATAATGAAAGTTTTGATATAAAAGAAACAGAACTACCAGAAAAATAATAAAAATGACATTTATAAAATAATATATCTCAAAAAAAATAATTTATTTTTTTTAACAATTAATTATTTTTAAGGATCGATATTAATATATAATTATTATTTGATTAACTAGTATTAGTGTAAATAATGACAGAAATAAAGAATGTATAAATTGAGTTACATACACCTCATGTCTTAAATAGTATGGAAGAAAGAGATTCCAAAAATTTGTTTGGTAACTACACATTTATTAATACAAGATTATTAATATGATAACATTGAAAAGAAGGGAAATTATGCTTAAAAATATTAATCAAAGAATAGAAAAATTACATCCAATAGGCCAGATTATCAATTACCTGATAATAGTATCTAAACATCAAAATATACATTATTGAACTTTTTTCCTAAATAGTTATTTGAGTAATTTTCTAAGTTGGCAAATGTCTATTTTGTAGTATGTTACAAGTTGTATTAAATTAGTTAATGGGTGCATTATAAATGGTTCCAGAAGTTTCAATAAGTTCAGGAATTCCTACAATTTATTTACCTTTAGGTTTCATTATTTTGGTAAGTGGAGCAAAGGATTTCTATGAAGATTACAAAAGAAGGACTTCTGATAATGAAGAAAATAAATAATAAGTGACAGCATTTGATGGTAAAGATTTTGTTAAGATTCCTTCATATGAATTAAGAGTAGGACATATTGTTAAAGTGAATTAAGATGAAATAATATCAGCAGACATGATTCTATTAAGATCAAGTGAGAAAAAAGGAATTTGTTATGTTGAAACTAAATCATTAGATGGTGAGACAAACTTAAAATAAAAGAATGTTCATGTTGATCTTCTATAAACATTTAAATCAGATGATTGTTTTGGACAATTAGATAAAAGAATAATCTTAAAATATTAAGCACCAACACCATATTTATATAAATTTATTGGAGAAACGACTACTTCTAATTTATAGGTTTCATCAATCAATTTTAATAACTTTCTTTTAAGAGGATGTAACTTAAGAAATGTTAAATATGTTTTTGGTTTAGTTGCATATACTGGTCATGATACTAAAATTATGATGAATTCTTATAAAGCTAGAACTAAACGTAGTAAATTAGAAGTTAAGATGTAATAGTTTATTTTAATAATATTTATAACTCAATTTATTATGTGTATAATAGCATCTCTTGTTTATTCAATTACATATTTTAATAATAGATAATATTTAAATTATTTATATATAGGAGAAAATACTTCTGAATACACTATTCCATATAATTTTTTTGTAAGATTTGGTAATTGGATGCTTATATTTAATAATTTTGTTCCTATATCTCTTTTGGTAACTTTAGAAATGGTTAAATTTATTCAAGGCAAAATAATGACATTAGATGAAAAACTAAATTAACCAAGAGTTTAAACTTCTAATTTAAATGAAGAACTTGGTTAAATTGAACATATTTTTAGTGATAAAACTGGTACATTAACTTGTAATATAATGGAGTTTAAACAAATAATAATGTATATTTAATAATTAATAGTAGAGGTAATCAAAATTATGGAGATATATTGAGATCTTCAGATGATTATATAAGAGATGATGAATTACTAAATTATCCTTAAGTTAGTAATGTAGATTTTAGAGATAAGACTTTAATGTAAGCTATTAATGACAAAAATCATATAATGCATGATAAAGTAGAAGAGTGTTTAAAAATGATTTCTATTTGTCACACAGTTATTTCTGATTAGAAAGATGGAAAATTAATATATAATGCAACATCACCTGATGAATTAGCATTATTGAATTTTGCTAGATTTGTAGGTTTTGAATTTTTAGGAACAGATGAAAATAATATCAAAAGAATAAGTTATTAAGAATAAATAATTGAATATTAATTATTGGAGATGTTCGAATTCACATCTGCAAGAAAAAGATAATCAATTTTAGTTTAAGTTATTAATACTGGAGATATATATTTATTTTCAAAAGGAGCAGATTCTGTATTATTAGATTAAGTGAGATTATCAAAAGAGGAATTAAATAAAAATGAATATCATTAATTAGTATAGAGATTATAAGAATATGGTAAAATAGGATTAAGAACTTTGGTTCTATCAAAAAGAAAATTAAGTAAATAGGAATATGAAGAATGGCATAAACGTTATTAATTAGCAACATAATAAATTGAAAATCGAGAAGAGAAAATGTAAGTACTTTAAGATGAATTGGAAAAGAATTATGAAATTTTAGGAGCTACTGCTATTGAAGATAAATTATAATAAGATGTAGCAGATACAATTGCAGCAGTAAAAGCAGCTGGAATTAAAGTATGGGTATTAACAGGTGATAAAATTGAGACAGCTATTAATATTGGATATTCTTGTTCATTATTAACTAATAATTTAGTTTAACATATAGTTGATGAAAAAGAAGAATTATTAATTAATGAAAGATTAGATGATATATTAAATAAAATACCTACTTTATAAACTACATAAGGATAAGCTTTAATTATTTCAGGTGATGCCTTATTACATGCATTAAAACCAGATATATAAAAAAAAGTTGCAGAAGTATGTGGTTATTGTGAGGTTGTTTTATGTTGTAGAGTAAGTCCAAAATAAAAATAAGATGTAGTTTCTTTAATAAGAGGTAGAAATTAATTATGTTCAACTCTTGCTATAGGAGATGGTGCAAATGATGTAAATATGATAACAGCTGCTCATGTTGGAGTTGGAATTAGAGGTGTTGAAGGTTAATAAGCAGCAAGAGCAGCTGATTATAGTGTTTAAGAATTTCGTGAATTAAGAAGATTATTATTTTTTCATGGAAGGGAATGTTATCGTAGAAATAGTGTTTTAGTTTGTTACACATTTTATAAGAATATTTTAGTTGTTTTACCATAATTTTGGTATGGTATTCTCTCTATGTACTCAGCATAATCATTATATGATACTTTTATTTATTAATTATTTAATATTTTATATGGAGCATTACCAATTATGATATATGGAATATTTGATGAGGAATATGATGCTGATTAATTAACAGATAATAAATTATAAAATTATTATCAATAGGGTCCTTAAGGAGTTTTATTTAATATATAAATAGTTTTATTTTGGGTATTTTGTGGATTTTGGTAGGCTGCAATTTTGTGTTTCTTTCCTACATATACAATATCTGAGAATTTTGTTGAAAATAGTGGATTTACTCATCATTTATGGGCTTAAGGAACTATGATATTTGGATTGATTGTTGTGATTTGTAATTTGAAAGTATTATTATTTTCAAATACTTATACCCCAGCATTATTAGTAATTAATCATATTATAATTTAAGGGTAGTATATCTTTTAGTATGATATCATATTTACTTTCTTGGATTATCCTTGATAACATACCCTAAGCTGAAGCATATGTAGTATTTTAATCGTATAAATATATAATATATTATTAGATTATTTTAAACACCAAATTTTCATTTTGGTAATATATTAGTGATTGCTGCAATTTGTAGTATTGATATTGCATTAAACATTAAACTTAATAGAGTTTTATAGAAAGTTAATCAAAATACTTCAATAAAAACACCATTTTCATTAAATAATTTATCTATACATTAACCTCCAAAAATAGGTGGAAAATTAAATAATAAAGCTCATACTGGATTTGCATTTAATTGCTTAGATAGAGATGAATTAGAAGATTAGGATAAAATTGACTTGTATGGAATTGATAATTAAGTATAATCTTAAAATGGATGAAAAGTCTTGTTTTATTTTTATTATTATATTGAATCAAATATTAATAAATGCTCTAAAATCTAAACCATTACCACTATATAAATATGGGGCAATGAATGAATTATCGGCTACTTTTATATGGTATCCAAAATCTGTAGGATTTCCTAATACTAAAGTATTTGAAAATGCAGTATCTTAAGCCAATCTTTTCATAATACACCTTTTTACTTAATTTATGCAGCTTAAACATTCTCTATTCTACTAATGATACGATTTTATTCAAAGACAACTTCATAAGTATTGTCAGTATTTTTGAGTACTTATCTAATAAAAGGAATTGCTCTTTTTGCCTATAATTTTAATATTAAAATTAATACTTGTCCTTATTTTGCTAAATAAAAGAAAGCAGCAGCAACAGTAGGTACTGTCAATATGGTTGAATAGTATGCATCACCTCTGTAAAATAAATACAGGAAATAGCCTGCAAAGACACCTGCCAATATTTAATATCTCAAAACATGATGTTCTTATGCTTATGATTCATAAACTAATTTTTATCCTTTTTCATTAAATCTATTTTAAGCAAATCCTGTTTAATATTCTTTTTCATATAATTCTTATAAGAACAATTTAAAATCATGTCCATCAACATTTCTAGCATATTCTTGATCTTCAGCTGAAAATTGTTTTGTAGCTCTATCAACAGTTTAAATAAATAGTTATTTCTCTTATGCTTATTAATCAACTTTTTGACTAACTTAAACTTCTGTTTCTTGATTTGATTCTATAAATGATTTTATTAAACCAACATATCTATTTATTATTAATTAATATAGAAATACCTTCCTTAATTAAATTAATAGTTTTCAAAGATTGATTCAAGTGATTATGCTAATTAAGTTGCCAATTATGGATCTTTAACTTCTGCTTTTATTTTATTTATGACTGCATTAGTACGTTATCTGTATATTGATTCTAATTGTTAAACATAGCCTCTAAAATATTATATAATCTCTACGGTGAAACTAAATTATCATAATGAATTCCTTCCAAATAAATGCTAAATAAATCTTGAGCTGCTTATTTTCTAGCTTCATTTGTAAGTTTGCTGATTTCAGGAATTCTATATTATAGACTTTATGCAAATTGCTCTAGATTTTCATTACTTAATTGTTTTTATCTGAATAGTAACTCCAATTTCTCAACGTGAACCTAAAGAAATAGAAATTAATAAACCTTATAATCATTGGGATTTGGGAAATTTTAAGGTCGAAGCAATTAACTCAATTAATATATACCAGAGAGGGTTGTTAATTGAGAAGTTGTTAATCCATATTTATTTGCCACTTATTAGAATTAGGCAATTTAAGCTTATTAAGCTGATGGATTTGTAGCTTCTCTTAAACATACATACTCTCTTAAGTATCGTAAACGAGTTGGATTATGTCTCATAGAATTTCCAAACACTTTTCTAAACATACTTAAGATATTTAATTTTAAAGAATAAATGAGATATTTAAGTTTCTATGAATTTATATAATTATAATAAATTATTCATATAATTTCTGTTCACATTACTTTACTTCATTATAATTGATTATCATGAATAGCAGTTATATTATTGGTTTAAGATATTGATTAAATAGATTTCTTACTAAAACCTTAAATGATATCATTTGGTTTTAGAGTTAATTTTTTTTATTATTTATTAATTTGACTTTATTTTGATTGACTACTTTTAGTTGCAGCACCTCCATTTTTATCATCTTGAATATTTCCATTGCTACCACCATTATGTATTAAATGTTTTTGAAAGTCCCTTGTATATTATTACATAACTTAAAATTATAATTCATATTTTACCATCTTCATTTGGATCCTCTTCTTCCTCATCTGAACTTATATTAGAATCATTCTAAATTGGTACTTCTTAATTTATAAAAGCATCATCTTTATAAATTTAAGTATTTGGTAAAGATATATATTTTGGTTTCCCATAATCTGGTCTTTTTGGATATTCTGTATCATTAGAATTTCTAGAAATGATTTCTATTTTGTTGTCAAATGAAGAATCAGAACTGAATCCATCACTATAATGTTCTTATTACTATTCTAATAAAATTTACAATTCTTTTTATTATCTCTTTTTTTCTCCATATCTTTTAAGTGTTTTGTAAGCCATATGTACAAATAAAAATTCAACAATTGGATTAACAAGGGTAACTTCTTTAGATTGCAAAGCATATTTCTTTTTCAATCTTTTTTAAGTTTCATCTTCTTTTTATAATATTTTTTCAGCTCCTTCTTGACTTAAATTAATTTAAATCTTTTTCCACATATAAGATTTCATAACACAAAATAAAATTTAATGATATTTGACATGTCCATTATTATCAGAATAGATATTCATTTTCATTAATTAAGTTGATACAGATCTTTTGGCTTAAGCCTTTAAATATAAAGTATATTTTTGAATATTTTATTTATTGTCTAATTATGGATTAATTCGTTTCCATTCTGTGATTTCATTTTATAATTTCTATTTTAAATCATATCCTATTGGTTTTTCCATTTATAACATTAAAGGAACAAGCAATTATTAATGCATCTTCATTCCTTTGTCTTCCTTAGCAAATTTAGACCAAGATTCAATAAACATGTTTTCATATTCTTAAAATTTATTTAATGGATTATCACTGTTGAAATAATTAATTTCATATTAATCTAAAATGATAAGAATAAATAGGTTGAGCATAATATATTATTAGATGACAATGAAAATAATAAAGAAAATACAATAATATCCTTAACCATCTTGCATAGTATCAAACATAATAATGTACCAATCTTCTCCAGTTGCACATCTAAATAGTAATAAAAAGGAATGGTGAAAATCTTAAAAATTATTGGTATTATCAATTGCCCATCCACTTTTTATTGTTCCAAACAAAAATACTCCCAATATAGAGAATATAAAGAAAACCAAAAATAATAAAGCTGTCACATTTAACATAGCAGGCAATGAATAAATTGCTGTTTCTATCAATTTTTATAAACCTTCAAAGGATTTAATTAATCTAAATAATCTAGTAACTCGAAGTACTCTAAAAACTCTAGCCAACTAAGGTCCTGCACTAAGAAATGAAATAAATGAATTTCCAGTAAATGAAAGTATTAAATCCAAGATTGAAGCACATACTACAAAAAAATCAAATCTATTCCATGAATTTCTCATGTAACCTATTGGTCCTAATGCTATTATTTTAAGAATAGCTTCTCCTATAAATACAAAAGTAAATGCAGTATTAAATTATGTTAAAATTGAATCATAAAGGATTGGTGCATCATCCTAAGATAAACCCATGATAATAATATTGAGTACAATGATCATTAGAATAGTGGGATCAAAATATCTATGCTTTATAATAGAAAAGATTTTTGCTCTGAAAGGATTCTCAGGACTAAAAAACATAGCAAGATTTGGACTTGAATGAACTATTAATTTTTATAGTTCAATCCAATCAACTTAAGCTTAAGTTAAGATTTTATCTCTTGATGCTTCTTCAGCTAAATGATAATTGACTAAGATCACACCAATAAAGAGATTCATCAATAATATTGATCCAAATAAAATAAATACAATAAAATACCAAGAAAATTATAATTATGCATTTTTTATTGGTCCTGATTCATCTGCATCGATAAACCAATACATAATATCTGGCCATCCTTCCAAAGTTGACAATATAAATAATGTTAACATTCCATTTAAAATGTTATCAAAATTAGTTTTTCTATTTTCCCAAACACCACCATTCTATTTACATTCTTAAACTCCATAATGATAATATATTTCATCATCACCCATATTACAAAAACTCATTTTATCTTTCTCTAAATTAATACCCAAAATTGCAAACATCATCCATACCAAAATTACAACAATAGCAACATTAAAAATACCATTTATAGATTATAATAATGCTGATACTAATATTTTCATTGATCTATTATGAGTTATAAATCTTAATGGACGTAATGTTCTTAATAATCTCAAAATCTTTACAAAACTTAAATTAATTGTTGAAACACTAACATCAATAAAAGAAGCAATTACAATGAAAAAATCTAAAATATTCCATGATTCTCTTAAATATGAACTCTCTTATTATATTAAACCAAATGCTATTATTTTCATACACATCTCTACTCCAAAAAATACAGCAAAGAATATATCTATATCTAAAGATATTTATTTTAATTATCCAGTATCTGGAATATAAGTATCAAAAACTAATTTTGTTGATGTTAAGAATATCATAGAAAATATTAATGTTTCAAATTTATTATCCTTCACTATTCTATAACATATCTTTCTGATAATATTTTATTGACTGAATAAATATAATGAATATTAACATATTCCAATTTCAACAAAATATTAAAAAGCTTAGTTTATTTATTTATGTTTTTTCTAATCATGATTATCTTCATTATTTTCTAATTGTTATGCAACAGTATGTTTCTTGGTTTTCATTGTTGATTTTAATGTACTTGTTGAATTTACAGCTTAAGTTGTATTATCCATTACTGAATCCTTTCCTATCTCAATATTAGTATCCAATCCTGCTTTATCATTCTTGTATTCTTCTTCAAAATTTTCTAATAATATTGCCAAAAATAAATTTAGAAATACATAATTCCCAATCATTATCCAAAATACTAAATAAGGTATAGTAATAAATGCTGAAACATCTTAAACTAATAAATCCCACAAAATACTACTCCAATTTTCTAAAGTAAGTACTTAAAATACAACCAAAAATGCACTTTGAATATCATCATAGCTTTATCTGCTTGGAGTCTTAGATAATTATCCACCAAAAAATGCCATTCCCAAAAGTGTGAATATAAAGATAAAGAGTATCAATAGAATCATAATATACATAAATGATTAAAAAGCATTACTTAACACTTTTATCAAAAACCCCATAAATTGTAAGCTTTTCATTAATTTAGTTACTCTCAAAACTCTAAAAGCTCTAAAGATTCTTACTGATCTAAAGGCTGATAATGATGATTTTCCATTTGTGCTTCCTCCCAAAAAGAATAATTCTACTAAACTAAGAGCTACAATAACTGCATCAAATATATTCATAGTATCTCTCAAATATTTTCTTAAACCCATTCCAAACATTTTCAATCCTAATTCTATTGTAAACAATATAGTAAATCCAAAATTAAACTAGTTTGTTAATGTTGAAGTACTATCAGGCAATAAACCATCAAGTGCTAATATTACAGTATTTAAAGTAACTGCCAGATTCATTGAAGCCTCAAAGTATCCTGATTCTACAAAATACAATAATTGATTTTATAAAACTAATAAAATACCAATTAAACCTTTTAAATAAATGAAAGTTTCCCTTTTTGAATAATTAAGAGCTTTCATAACAGAATTCATTTGTTTTGCAAATTTTTAATCATAAAATGTATAATCTGCTATTAATAGTACATCCTCAATTGAAGCCTATGCTATTATGGTTCCTTTGCTTTCATGAATGTCTTTCTATTTAATATCTTCAAATTCCTAATAGAAAATACTTTATTATAGATCTATTTCTAAAGGAGTAAGCAATGCTAACTCTTTTTAATCAAATTATTTATTTAATTCCACTTAATATATTTTTGTTAAATCAACAATACAATCTGAACTTTCATTGAATTTTACTCCTAGTTGTTCATAATTTAATTTTTAATTTTTTTCTTCTTTTTACTTTCTTTTTTTTTAATTAACTTTTTAATTTCCACTTCCATATATATTATTTTAATCTTTATCAATATTAATTTCATTTTCTTCTTCTGATTATGAATTTCCATTTTGATTTTCTTGATTATACTCTTTTTAAATTTCTCCATTTTTATCTGTTGGTAATTAAATATCTTCATAAGGATGTATTTCATCAATGATTGGTTATACTCTTCTTAAACTTAAATTAGTTTTTTTAGATTTATTTCCAGATTTAAAGTATCCTGATTTTGGAATACTTTTAGTTTTTGTATTATTAATATTCTTTAATTCAAATGATTGTTTAGAATTTTTGAAGCAATAAGTAATTTTAATATCTAATTCCATAATCTTTTTTTCTTATTCTAATCTCTTTTATTCTAATTTTTATAACATTTATGAAATTAGTATATCATTAATACTATTAAATTCAGCATCTACAACGATTATAGGATAAAATTTAGTATTAAATAATTTGGATTTTAATTTAAGAGATGCTTCATCTAAATTTAATTATGTATTTTTATTTAAATCTCTAAGTCTTCTATTTTCCATTTTTCTTTATCTATTTAATTCTTTTTAAATCTATTTCTAGTTTACACTATTAACATTAGTTATCTTTTCTTCTATTTCAATATCCATTTCTTCTAATCTTTAATCTAGTTCATCATCTGAAAGACTATTTAATTCACTTAAATTAACACTATCAAATTCATGATCATCAATTGATTTTTATGAATCAGGTTTAGGAGAATTACGAGGTTATTTCTAGAATTTCATTGCAGCAGTTAAATTGAATTTTTAATTTGCTTTTATGTTCTAAGATTATTATTTAACTAAAAAGTTATATTAAATATTATTTACTTTCTCCTATTTTAGGAATTTGTAATTTATTATTAATTGGAGTTCTCTCTAATTTAGATTCACCACTTTTACTACTTTCAATTGATGCTCTACGCTGTATTAACATTGTTCCTCCATTCAAAGGTCTTATATTTTCAGATTATAAATCCAACATAGGAGAATTCATGAACTCTGAACTTAATTATTAATCACATAATTAGAGACTCTTTTTAGTTTATTTATTAGCACTTCCACTCTCATTATCAAACATCTATTTAGAAGATGTTTAACTTGATTAACTATTTCTTTTTCTAACTCCACTTGATCTTTTAGCAGTAATATTACTTTATTAATTTGATGTAATCTATTATTATTATTATTATAAATTCAATTTATTTTAATTACCCATTCCATAAATACCTTCAATTTTTATATATTTTTTATTAAGCATCACAGGATGGCTATAATAAATAGCTGATTTGATTGGTTGGAAATGTACTTTATTTTTACCTTTCAATCTTCTTTAATATGTATCTTTGATAACATTTATTTATGAATCTCCTTTTCTTGGGTGTTTATTACGATTCATTATTATATTTTAATCTAAATCATTGGATTTATCCCAAGTAATACCAAATCCTGTAGTATCTACTCTTTCTCTTTCAGGAACATATAATTTTAATTATCTTAATTATTTGTAATCATATTCTTCTATTTCTTCTTTAATTTATTCTAATTCTTCTTATATTTTTTCAGGTTTAAAATTTAATTTGATAATAGCAAGAGTTAAATTTACTAAAAAGAATGCACCTACTAGAACAACAATGATAAAATAAAGTACAACAAATTCTGAGAATGTTAACATTACAGCTGTCTAAATTTAAGTCCATCCCTCTAAAGTTGTTATAATAAACACTTATAAAAAAGCATAACCAAATGTATCAAAATTAATCAAATTATTTTATGGATTTGCAATTTGTTTACCACAAATGAAATTTTCATTAAAAATTGTTTATTCTGGAAAAGGACAATTATTATCATCTGAACAAAATAAAAGTTCTTCTGAAATCCAAGTTATACCACTCTCTTCTCCAATACATCTTCGTTTTAAATAACCTGAAAATAATTATACACCTGCTATAGCAAATATTGAATAAAAAAACATTAATACAACAGCTGCATCTCTTAATTAAGCAATTGATGCAAACAAAGCCAATAAAATTGTTCTAAGAGCTTTTATTGATGATACAGTTCTTAAAGGTCTTAATACTCTAAATGAACGAAGTGCATTTAAATTCACAGAATTTGAATCTAAAAAGTATGGAATATATGCTGTTATGATAACAGAAAAATCTAATATATTCCATGTGTCTCTTAAGTATGACTTTTTAGGAATGATGAAACCCTGAAATATCACTAAATTATAATTACTTAAGCAATGATCTTAAGAATAGCCTCAGCTGTATAATAAGCTAAGAATATGATATCAGTTAAGTTTTAGAATGATGTTTAAATATTTGTTGTAGGATCATCAATAGCTAACATAATTGAATTAAACACAATCATTATTAGAGTGATCACTTCAAAAATTGGATGAGTAGTAATCAATTAAGCATAAAAAGAAACAAGTTTAGTTTAAATCAATATTTTTTTACGTATCGATAAGAATGGATATCTAAAAATTATATATATACAACATACTTATCATGATAACTGTAAGAAAGTTGCAACTCATTCTTTGGAATTAATTTGATATATGTATTTATTTTGACTTTATTTTCTTAATAAACTTAACCAAATTCTTCTTCAAGGTCTTCAAGAAATTCTTATTTGTGATTTTCATTAGCTATAACAAAACTCTGCTCTTCTTATTGATTTGTAGTTGACTATCCATCGTGTAAAAGTTCTTTAAATTTTTTTAAAATTTCGCGATTCTACTTTTTCACTTATTCACCATATTTCTATAGAGATTACATTTTATTGAATAATTACCCCATCTTCACTAAAGGAATCCTAGTTCTAAATGAAGATTTCTTGGTCTTCTACACCACTTAATTGCTTTTTAAGCCTAGTAGTTACTTTGATTTCTTTTGACATAATATATATAAAAAAATTTAAAAATTACAATATCAATCTCCTAAATACTTATTAAAATCAATAATTTATAATTTGTAATCTTCCAGTTCTTCAACATTGTTTTCATCATCAATTACTTATTTAATTGAATTTTCATCCTTGCTTTATTCTTCTTGTGCAATTTACACTTTGTATTCTTCTCCATTATAAATTTTATTATTAATTGGAATTTCAACAAAATAAACTTCTTCATAATCAGGTTTTTCATAATCATCTTTTGATAAATCATCGTCTAAATACTCTTCAAAATCAATTGATGAATCTGTTTTTGCTAAAAATGATATACCATTATCAACTAATTTGTTTTTAGAAATTTCAACATATCTCTACATTGCTCTAAAACATGTTTAAGCATACAAATAAGAAACTAATGGATTTACATCTTAATCTAAATCAGTTCCATAATCTTCTTCAATTTCTGATCTAGTTTCCATTTCTTTTATAATAAGTTTTCTTCCTCCTTCTTCAGTTAAATTAACTTCTAGTTTTTCTAAATAAGCCTCTTTTATTACAACAAATAAGACTAAATTATATGGTATATTCCCTTATGTATCACATTTAAGTTACATATCCATAATTTTGAAGAGTGCATTTCTAATCAAATCTGCTTTTATATTAAATTTAAGTTGATTAACTTCTTCTTAAGTATGTTATGGATTGATATGTTTCCAATCTTCTATGCCTTTTTGCATAGATTTTGTGATGTCTAAACCTAATGGTTTAGGTAATTATAGAATTAGATCAGTCAATTTATTTTAATTTATTACAGATCCATCAGAACTAAAACGAGTCCATACATCTAACATTTTATTTTGATATTCACCAAATCTATTAAGTGGATTATCTTCATGAAAATAATTTATGTCATATTAATCTAGCACAATCAGAATAAATAGATTAAGCATTACAAAATTCTAAATCAAAATGAATACAACCCAAAATAAAGCATTATAATTTGAACCATTATTCATTGTATCATACATTATTCTATTCCAATCCAATCCTGTTTAAGAAAGGAACAACAATATAAATGAATGATGAAAATCAGAGAAATTATTAGTATCAGAGATGATCTTTCCTTACTTAATATCTGAAAACAAAAATACTCCTAAAACAGAAAAAATTGAATGGATCAAGAAATATAAAGCAGCTGCATTGATAATAGCAGGAATTGAAAACACAGCTGTATCGATTAACTTCTTGAGACCTTTAAATTATTTGACTAATCTTAATAATCTTATAGCTCTTAAGATTCGAAACCCTTTTCCAATTGATAATCCACTTTCATTTGTAACAAAATCAATAATGGATATAACTACAATAATAAAATCAAATTAATTCCAATTTACCTTAAAATAGGCTATAGGACCAAAAGTAAGAATTTTAAGTATTGCTTCTAAACAGAAGATAATTGAAATGGCAAAATTAATTTAATCAATTGCATATAAATATTCAAGATTAGCATCTAATAATTATAATTATTATTACCATCCATATACATTCCAGTTACAACAATATTAATGATAATGAATATTGAGATTATAATATCAAATTTCTTGGCTTTGACAATTCTAAATAATAATGCTTGGATCCTGTTCTTTGGCATATAATACAAACTTAAATCAGGCTTAGACTCTATAATTAACTTTTGAGTATCAATCCATTAAATTTGATCCTAAGTAAGAGAGGAATCTCTGGCCTTTTCTTCTGCAATATGAAAATTAACTAATATAACTCCTATGAATAAATTGTTAAGGAGAATAGATCCTATTAAAATAAAAGCTAAAAAGAATAGAAAGAATTCAGGAGAACTATCCTTTACTAAACCATTTTCAGTGCCATCTTTAAAATATAATAATTGATCTGGCCAATCTAATAAAGTACTCAAACAAAACAAAGTTAACATTCCTTAAAAGATATTCTCAAAATTACTATCATATATTCTCCATACTCCTTCACACTAAAATAATTAAATTCTTATTTACTTCTTCTTTTGTAACATAATACATTACTCCATCTCCCATATCACAATGATAGAGTTTTCCTTTTGCAAAATTGATTCCAATTATAGCAAACATCATCCAAACAAGTATTATTACTATTGCTACATTTAGAATACCATCAGCTGATTGTAATAAGGCTGATACAATAATCTTCATTGATCTATTATGTGATACAAATCTTAATGGTCTTAATGTTCTAAACAATCTCAATATCTTTAAATAACTTAAATCTATTGCTGCTACACTTATATCTATAATTGATCCTATTAATATAATAAAATCAAGTGCATTCCAAGAATTACGTAAATAACTTAGTTCATCTCCAATAAATCCAAATGCTATTATTTTTAAAACAGCTTCAGAACCAAATAAAATAACCATTGAAAAATCTAACCAATAAGATACAACATTATAAGAATCACCTAAAGTATAAGTATCTAAAATAAGTTTAGCACTTGATATTAAAATCAAAATCAAAATAAATATATCAAATATTTTATCTTTTACTGCTCTATAACAAAATTTTCTGAAAGTACTTTCCTAAGAGAATATCATCAAAGCATATTCTCCTAAACCTTTCTCTGAAAAATAAATAAAACGTTAAGTTTATAATTTCTAATATTCTTCAACATCATCTTATATTGAAGATTTACTTGATTTTCTACTTGCTTGAGGTTTTGAAGTTATTGCAGATTCAAAAATCTAATCTCTCCCAATAATAATATTATTATCTATTTAATTTTTATCTCTTCTATATTCTGTCTCAAAATTATCCAATAGTACTGCTAAAAATAAATTTAAAAAAACATAATTGCCTATTGCAATCCATATAACTAAATACAAAAATACAACTATGTTGTTAGCATCAGACAAAAATAAAGAATATAAAACATCACTCCAATTTGATATTGTAAATAACTAAAATACAGTTTCAAATGATATTATAAATGAATTAAAAGTATATCTATAATTTTAATCTGATATATATCCTTAAAATAATGAAAATCCTAAAATTGTAAATGTATATAAAAAGAAGAGCATTAAGATAAACATCCATAATATTTATTCAAAAGCATTTCCCAATACTTTTAATAAAAATCCCATAAATTTAAGGGATCTAATTAATTTAGAAATTCTTAATACTCTTAATGCTCTAAAGATTCGCAAAGATCTTAATGCACTAAATCCAGATTTTCCTCCATTCTCTTAATTGATAATTACTTCATATAAACTTATTCCAACTATAAAAGCATCAAAAATATTAAATTTATCTTGAACATATCGTTTAACTCCTAATCCTATCAATTTCAAACCAAGTTCAATTATAAATATAATTGTAAATGCCAAATTAAAGTTAGATAGTAAATCATTATCAGTAACTAACCCTTCTAAAGCTAATATAATTGTATTAAATGCAACACATAAATTTATAGATCTATTAAAATATTCACTTTAAATTAAATTTAATAATTTAACTCTAATTACTTTAATAATACCTGAGACTCCTGGCAACCAAATTTCATAAACATTTATAGTATAATTCAATGCTTGCATTATTTTATTCATCAATGTAATTGTTTATTCATCTATATAATCACTCATAAGTAGAACATCTTCAATTGAAGATTATTAAACTATTTCTTATTATGAACTAGCTTCAGACTAATAAAAAATAAAAATAATAAATTTACCATCAATTTAACATAATCTTAATAATTTGTACTAGTAGTAATAGTAATTTAATCATAATTTAAATATCTTAATTATTCTTTAAGATCATATTATATTTCAACTTAGCCATATTACTCTAAATCTACAGCTTAAACTTCTTTTCTGATTAATAATTAAGCTTCTTAAAAGTTTAATTTTTATTCATGTAAAATCAATTTTTTATATTATTGTTATTCTTCTTAATCTTAGAATTTAACTTATTTTTAGGAACGCTTTGCAGTTGTACTTTTCATTTAAGTAGTTGATGGTTGAATTTTTGAATTAGATCTATTATTAACTAATTAAGTTTGTTAATTTGAAAATACATATTAAACTTATTTTTTGATTTTTCTATTAATTTCTTCATTATTTTTAATGTTCTATTGTATCTTTTTCATTTATTAAACTTCTAATACATCTAATTCTGAATTTGAATTATAAATTAAATATGGAACTTCTTTATGGAATTTAGTTTTAAATAATTTTATTTTTAATTGTTAATATCTATCATCATTTGCTTAATTAAATGTTTTACTTAAATAAGTTGATTTTTTCATTGTTTTTCTTGTGAATCGAGGTTTCTTTCTACGAACTAAATTAACTTTGGATAATGGATTCTAGAGTACATCAGATTTTGATTTTTTCATTATATTTAATTCTAATATACCTAGATCCATTAATTCTTGTTCAACTTATTCACTAGGTATTGAATTGATAATAGAATTTTCACTCTTATCCAAAATAGATACATCATTTTTAATTATTTCTATTTATTTATTCTTAATATTAAAAGATCTTTATTTAACATCCTAAAGCATTTAAATTTATTGAGAAGTTCTTGGAGCATAAGTACCATGTTACATAAGATTTCTATTAAATTTAGAATTTAATTAACTCATTTAATTGTTTGGAGTTAATAATCCATTACTTTAATTTTCATTGCTTGGAATATTATTATGAGCCTAAGAGAAAAAATCTTATAATTATTCATCAGTATCTTTAGGTGTTGTAATAGTTTTTTTAGATTGATGTTACCCAATAATCTTAAGATCATTAACAAGTATTTAATCAGACTCTGATATTGAAGGTCTAACTCTATGCACTATTTTCTTACTGAATTAAGATTTTGGAGATCCAATATTTAATTCATTTAAATTTCTTTAATTTTAAGGAGTAATATTTCGAGATCGATTGTTTGGAGATTTATTATTTATATTTAAAATTGATTTACTTGATAATTATCTAGTTTAATTATCCTTTAAAAGAGATCTATTGGATTGACTAAAAAACATATTGCTCAATTTATTATCTGGTGATATATTATAAGAGAAACTAATGTTTTAATCAATAGGACTTTAAAGAAAGGAATATCCTTATTATTCATAATTGACATTTAGATTAATTTTGGATTTATTAGAAGGAGTAACACCTCCAATAATAGGTTATAATTTCTTTCCCATTCCATAGATTCCCATAAACTTCTTGTCTTATTTCATAAAAGGAGTACTGAAATTGTTAGCAAATTTAATAGGATGAATTTTTAAGTTAGAATTCTAAGTTTAACTTGGATATTTAGTAGTTCTATGTTTTATTTTAGTTTATTATCTTTAAGATCTTTCTCTAAATGTAAATTGAGCATCACTTTTCCTTCTTATTAGTGTTTAAGTTTATAATTTAGATGGTTCATATATTCCCATAATCCTTAATTCCCAATAATCATAACTTTCTTCAATTACAGGTGGTATTATTATTTTTTGATTATTAGAAAAGTTAAGCTTAATTATGGCTAATGTCAAATTGACCAAAAAGAATCCTCCTACCATTACTACCATAAAGAAATAAACATAAACTGATTCATTATATGCTGCTATTGTATAATCTAAAATCTAAGACCAACTCTCAAGGAGTGTACATATAAAAACTTATATCAATGACCAACCGAATGTATCAAAATTAATTAAGTCATTAAAAGGATTGGCTATCTATTTAACACAATCAAAGTCTCCTTGACATTCTGAACATACTTAGTCATTTTTAGGAATTCCTGTTTGTAAATTTACACATCTTCTCTTTAAACCTCCACCAAATAGTAGGAGAGCAACAATTGCAAATATTGAATATGAGAACACTAAAACTATCAATGCATCCTTCAATTAATAAACTGATTAAAATAACGAAGTCAATATTACTTTTAAAGCAGGAATACTTTAACCTGCATCCAAAGATCTCAATATTCTTATTGTTCTTAAAGCATTAAAATTAAATTTTATGTTTACAAAGTAAGGCAAGTATTAGAATACCAAAATCAGAAAATCAATTACATTCCAGAAATCTCGAAAGTATGAATCTCTCTTCATATACAAACCCTATTATAATTATTATATATGTTAACCAATGCCAACATCTTGAAAATGGCTTCCAATGAATAAAGAATAATAAAGATAATCTCATATTAATCTTATTCTAATGCTAAACATAAAGAGTTCAAAATAATTGTTATCATCAGTATCAATTGGAAAGTTTTGAGATTTATTAAATATTTCATTAGTTATCTAATCGATTAAAATATTATCATTAGGACTCTTCTCATCTTTAATAAAGGGTACCTAATTTAATTTCTAATTACTCATCAACATAAATATATGCTAACTGTAATTCATTCATTGGCCTTAGTTTTATCTAACTACTTGGGGCAGGTATTTGATGAGTATAATCAATATAAAATTCATTATCCAAATCAATTAAATATTCATAAGTTATTTGAGATTCTGTATTTTATTAAATGGCTATGTCATAATTTGTTTCATCCAAAATCAATTGTTACATTCTTCTTAGATATTCTTTCCTTTCTTATCTTTGTTTCTCCTCTTAAATCTAAATCAAATAAATCTATATACTTCATATTCATCTTCATCCTCATATTATTCTAAAATTATGCCATTTTTCATAACTTTTTTTAAAGTAATTTAAAATAATATTTGTTTATAAATATTTTTTAAATAGAAGCAACCTCAAACTCTAATCAAATTGAAATTACTTTCATTATTATAATTATAATTACATTAAACTAATCATATAAATTACTCATTAAATTCAATATATTACTAAATTTGTCTAATAATTTTAGGTAATTATCGTCATAATCCTAGATAAATTATATCTCAAATTCTATCAAAATAACTAATTTCTCTTATCAAGTATTAATGTTTTATTGATAAATAATTGAATTTATAAATATCTAGTATATCTAATATATCATTTTCCAAAATTGTCTAAAACTGATTTTAGTTTGTCCAACTTACTTTTAGTTTCAACCTATTAAGTCTATAATATTTTCATGTTATTATAGCAGCTATGAGTATTTCTATTTCAACTTTTCATTTTATTGTTATTTCTTTTATAATGTAGAATAGGCTTACTGCAACTATTACAATTAAAAATTCTTTTCATTTTATTATTCATTCAATTTATTTAAATTTTCTTTAATATTTTATCATTCCTTTAAGTTGAGGTTTTCTTTTTCAAATGCCTTATCTCGAAGATCAATTTATTATTTTCTTAATTATTGTAATTGTTAATGCAATTACTAAATTTATTATTATTGTCTTAAAATTTTATCGTTTATTTATTATTTATATTATTTCCTTTATTGATTCCAAACTTTATTTACAGCATTTGATTATTTGATATTTTATATCTTTATTTATCATTATAATTAATTTAATTTCTTCTACTTTTCAATTCATTATTTTCTTATTATAATTAAATTACTATTGCATGTAATCTCTTTAATTCATTTTCCAAATACAATCTTTCATTATTTCCAAAAAAATTACTTTCTTAAGCTAAACTTTTATTTTCCAATTCTACTATTTCTAATTTCTTTCATCATTAGGTTTAATATCTAATTCTTAAAATTAATAAAATCTTATTCTAAATCTAAATATTATATAATTCTTCTTTTCTCATTCAATTATTATTTAATATTATAAATTTTTGATTCTTAATTTTATTTCTTTGTTTCTAATTATTCTTAATCTTTCAGTAATCTAACAAATGCTTACAATTTCAATTATATAATCCTTTTTTCATACTCCAATCTCTTATTTTCTTCATTTGTTATTACCAATCTATTTTTATAAATCTACAGTCTTTTTCTATTTCATAAAGATGTTTAGAATATTTCTCTAACTTTTTATGTTTACCTTTCCAAAAACCCAATATTCTTTCAATTATTAACTTCTATTTTTATATCTCTCCAAATCATTCTATCATTTGCTATAATACCTTCAATTAATCAAAATCTTTAGTTTTAGTATCAAACTATTATTATAAAATATCTAAATTTCCTTAAATTAACAGATTAATTTCTTATTATAATTAAGGTTAATATTGCGTTTATTAATTGAATTGCTATATTTAATTTTATAGATCCTGTGTTTACTATTAAAAACTTTGATTTTTAGCAACAGAACCTATAAATTCCTTCAGATTATACAATTATATGATCCTCTTATTGAATATGTCATTTGCATCATTTTTCTTAGACTAATATTAATTGTTAATTTCAATACCCTTATATCTCTTTTATTCTTGATTTCAATTTGCTTAGAATTATTTAGACTTATGTTTCTCTACATATTATTTATAAAGACTTAATTCGCTAATTAGATTGATCTTCTCTTAATCCTTATATACACAAGGATATTTAATTAAAATTTCAAATGATAAAAATTCAATAACTTCCAACATCTCTTTTTTTATTTATACTCTTAATAAATTGGTAATCATCATTAAAATTACATAGAGTCATTTTTTGTTGACTATCAATTCATAAATTTGATTTACTATGTGTTCCTTTTATCATTCTAATCAATAGAAAATTAAATTTCAAATTAATCAACTGTTTTGCACTATATTTGAAAGTTTACAGAAAGTTTATAATTTATTTTGACTAAAATAACATTAAGTTGAGTAATATAAGCCTTATTATTGATTATTTACCACAATTCAATGTTTAAATCAGATAGAATTAAATTTAGTTTTACATCATCTCTATTAATTAGGAATTTAGAAATTTTAGAAAATTATATGAATTTAATCAAAAATACCAATATGTATAGTAATTTAAATGTTGTTGAAGAGATTTTAGGCAAAAATAATTTGGATAACAAAGTGCTTTATTTTTTACTAATTCTTTTATTAATTATGATAATAAAATAAATTGAAAAACTATTAAGTTCTATAAATGAAAACTATTCCACTATTTAATGTAAAAATAATAATTTAAATAGCTATTGCTTAGTTTTGCTTTGAAAATCCTGATGAAGCAAATTTTATAGCATTTCTAGTTGAAAATGAAATAAAGTAAGTCGAATCTGATAGAAAATTGCTATATCTTTTTTTGATTCATGAAATATTTTTATTAGAACTTAAATAAAGAAGAGCTACAATCGATTTTATAAAAGCTTTTGGGATGAAAATGAAGAATATGATTTAAGTTTTCCAAATAGTCTCTAGTATACAATTATTAGATAAAGTCTTTTATTTAATAAATAAATGGGAGACAGAAATGATATTTCATCCAAATTTCACTATGAAGCTTAGAAGTATTCTCTTACCGAAGTATGAACTTTTGTAGAAATCAAAACAATAATAATTATTAGATGAAATGGAAAAGTCAGAAAAACTAGAAAAGAATTTGAAAATTATTTAGGTTTAAAATCATTAATATATATAAAGTCTGTATCACATCCTAAATAATGTTATAAATTACTTAAACAAGTTTAATAACTTGAAAAAAGAACTTTAGAATTTAATTAAAATAGAAATAATGTTAACAAAATGAAATATTTAAATTTAATGATAGAAGAAGGAGAAGAATGTAGAAAATTGTTAATAAATGTACATTAATATATTAAATTATCAGAGTATATGTCAGATATAGTAGTTTTATTTAGATCTTTCAAAATAAGGAGAAGAACTGATGAAAGATCTAAAATCAACTAACAAGCTAGATTATTATAAGAGAAAAAAAAAGAAGTTATTTCGTTGATTATATATATTTTATAGTTCTTAGAGATACTTAATTAATTATGTTTTTAAATTCTAGTATTATCAATTTACTATTATCAAAATATATATGAGTTTAATTCATTGTTCATAAAATTAAAATATAATCTTAGTGTTTTAAATTTGTATAAATTATATAAAAAATAATAAATCTACATATAATAATTAAATATAATAGTAAATATGTTAGTATTATAAAATTTCTAATTATAAATATATGTTATTTAAAAGTCAATAAAAATTTCATATTCTTTTAAATTAATTTATGGTTAATGTAATCAAATTTATCATTTTTTAATTATTAATCATCTTAACTATATATATAAACTTTTAATAATCCTCTTATATGATTAGAATTTTATCTAAAAATACAAATGAGTACTAATTAAATGATTAGGTTTAATATAATTAATGATGATCAAAAATTTATTATTTAAGAATATAATAATTAATATTGTAAATAAATTATTAAAATTATGGACTTAAGAAACAAAAAATCACAATCTCATCATCGTATTACAAGTTATCAATTTTTAAAATGTGGATAATTTAAATAAGAATTACCTAAATTAGCTATGCCTCCAACTCCAAGAAAAAAGAATTTGAGTTTAGATTTATTGAGTGAGGTTCGCAATTATCAAAAATAAAAGATTGTGATTGAATCTGGTCAACTTACATCAAGAGGTTTGAGGTAGATGCTAAAGCCAAATAGTATTGCTATAATTTTAAATAAGAGCTTAAATGGGTTAATTAAGAAGTGAAATTGGATTCATAGTCTCTTCTTCGTAATAAACTTACTGTTGCTGATTTCTTTCTCAATTCGAAAAAGGGAAAGACTGAGTTAATGCCTTTTGATTTAATTTAATCAGATTCTCTCAAATAATTTCTTGGTAGATTGAAATGCCATATTAAAACTAGATAATATAAATGATTTTATATTTATATATTGAGTTCTTAGACTATATTCAAATGTGAATTTATTATTTTATTTATGTTTAAAACTTAGAAGTATACTAAATTTTTAGTGATATTAAGTGAAATATATGATTCAATGTAGTTTTAAATACATGATTTATCATAAAAATCATAATAATTACGTTAAATAAAATAAATAAGTTTCATTATTATAAACACAACAATTATTTTTATTAAAAGTAATTGAAATATTGTTTTAATATATAAGATTAATAATTAATGTTTAGATCAATTTTGATACGAATAATATATATATATATAGATGCTCAATCATTATCTCTTTTTGCTGAGATTTTAGATTTTAGACTTCCAAGAATGAGCTCCTTCAAATCCATTCTTTTATTCATAATAATCTTAAAATGCCTATTGAATTTCTTCCTTTGTGTTCATAACAAAAGGTCCATGCTACACAAAAGGTTCATCAATAGGTTCTCCAGCAATCATAATGAAATGACATTTTTATGTTCCTGTCTTAACTTTTAATACTTCCTCCTTATCATTAATATCTAAGTGAACAACTTAATGCTAATTGGCATTTTATCCACCAAATTATCCTTATCCTTCATATACATAACATATAGAATTCCATTTCAATGGTATCCTTTATAAGAATTCAGAATTTTCATCTAATTTTACATCTAAAAAGAAAGCAGGAGTCCTTGTATAAATTGGACCTTTTACACCTAAAGCCTCACCTGCAATAACACGAACTAAGACTCCATTTTATTTAGCTTCAGGTATTAAGTCTTTTTTGATTTCTTAATATTATGGTTCTACCATCTTGAATTTAGCTTGTAAATTGATCCATAATTAGAATCCAGATGTTAATTCATCCCAACTTCCTGGCATTTCAGCATGCATCACACCTTTTCCAGCAGTCATCCATTATATATCTCCAGGTTATAAATGACCTGAAAATCCTTTGCTGTCTTCATGATAGAAAGAACCTTTTAATAAGTAACTAACTGTTTCAAATCCTCTATGAGGATGATCAGGAAAGCCTGCAGGTAATTTAACAAATGCATGATCAAGCATCATAAATGGATTAAGACTACGAAGATGATTATTGCCTAGAATGTTATTAAAAACTAAATATTTACCTATGATTCTTATAACTTATGCACCTTAACCTTCAGGAACTGTTGGAGGAGTAAATATTTTTAAGACTCTTCTGGACATTATTAATTAATTTATATGCACTCTAAACATTCAAAACTATTTGAATCAGGTGCTGAGCCAATTAAAAGAGAAATACTAGAATCATACTTGGTTTAGAGTAAAAAACATAATTCTAATGACGATTCATAATTAAGAGAACATATTGAAAAATTAACTAATGAAGTAGCTGCAATAAAAAAATCAGTTGCTAATAAATAAAATGATAAAGCAATTTAATGTGAAGACAGAAATTATGAATTAATGAATACTCTTTTAAAATAAAAAGATAAATCAATAGAGTAATATGAAAGACAAATCTTGAGTTTTAAGAATATAATCATATAAATCGATCATTAGAAAAAGAAACTACTAAATAAATTAGAAATATAAGATCCAATGAAGAGTAGTCAAGCTATATTGATATCTTAATAAAATTAGATATAATTTGATAAATAAATGATTTGTAAAAGTCAACAAACGGAAGTTGATTTTGGAATAAAATTTATTTAAAACTCTGTTACTGAAGAATTAAATTCTAAATCAATATAGACTGAATCTAAATTTTATAATGAGATAAGTATGTTAACCTAAGATGAAATACATAAAGAGATAGAGTAATACAAGATTATTTTAAGAGAGTATGATTTAGAAAATAGAAAATTAAAAAAGTAAATCCAATAATTACAACACTCAAAGATTAAGGTTGATTAGGATACTTAAACAAATGTAATTCAATTTGAGAAATCATTATAAATTGAAGATAATTTAAAGATAGAACTTGAAAAAACAATGAAAGAGTATTAATAAAGTATAGATATACTTAATTTAATAAAAAAACAATTCAATTAATAGACATTAGAATTGAATATATTGAAAAACTAATATGATTCAATATTAAGTGACTATTATTTTATTTAATCAGAAAATAAATCAAATGAAAAAATAATAAATTAATTAAATGATGAAATTGAATAATTGAAATTGGGTTTATAAACAAAAGAATTTAGTATAAGCAGTGCTGATACACTTACTTCTCCTAATGATTCATTAAGAAGTTATAAGAAAATGGGTTCTAATGTAAAATTGAATTTTGTGAATTCAACATACTTTAATCCATAAAATATTGATGAATTAATATTAGTCTAATAAGAGAATTAGATATTGATGTTAAAAATATCAGAATTAAAATAACAATTATTAGAATTGTAAAGAAATCAAAAAAATTTGTATGAGGAAATTAATTAGAAAGATGATTTAATTAATAATTAGTAATAAGAATTATAGGAATATAGAAAAGATTAAATAGATTTTAAGAGAAGAATGGAAAATGTGTAAAAATTAGAAACTAAATTAATGGAGTAGGAGAATGGGTATCTAATCGAAATATAAGATTTGTAATAGAATATGATGAAGGTGAAGTAAGAATATGTAGGTTTGAAGATTATTAATCAAACATTGCATAAATAAATAGAGAAATATTAGAATAAAGGATTATTGTTATAGCATTAAAAATGATTCTCGTTAATTTATATATAAAATATTAATGTAATTAACAACACCGATAAGATTAGCTGAATCACATTATATAGGAGCACCAAATGTTTCAAATTATCCTTAATTGACTTAATCAATGAAGAGTCCTAATGTTAGTGCTGCTTCTGGGAATAATTCATCTTAAAAAGCTAGATCAGATTCAAAATAAAATAATTAAATGGTTTCATCTACTACTCATTAAATAATATAATTTGATTCAGTTGAACCAATTTAAATACAATGCGAAAATTGTAATACTTTTAGTAGTTCAATTGTTCATGTTGAATATACAATTTATACATATGTATCTGCTTTATTATTGATGTTAATATGTCTTTGTTGGATTCCTTTAATATTGAAGAAATACTTTATGAAAATAAGTCATAGTTGTCCTAGTTGTGATCGTTTGATTGGAGAATATGATTATTTGGATTAAAAATTAAATAAATAATGATTTATGAAATTAATAAATTATCATTGTAACATATAATTCTTTTTGAGTGTTTCATTTGTTTATTTAAGAGCCTTCTATATCCTATAATCTAAATCAGTTTTAGGAGTAACTTCATCTAATTTTTAGATCATTTCCTTGGTCTTTAATGATTAATTTGGAGTAAACATTAATTATTATTATTATTATTATTATTATTATTCTTATTATTTGATAACTTTAATAGGACTAGGAGTTGTAACTATTTATCTGGGACTACTTTGTATAATGGCTATTTATTATGGAGTAACTTATTATATTGGAGTTTGTAATTATGCTATTCTTCTGAAAGTAAAAGGGGAATGAGAATGACGAGGTTATATTGTTCTGGTTAAAGGTGATTAAGATGTTCTGTAAACATATCTTTAACTTGATGTAATAGTTTTTGGTGGACTGGATAATAGTTTTTGTTATAAATTGGCTTATTTATTAACTTAATACATATAATCAGCTCTTTGATGAGGAGATTAGAATAGTAAATGCTAAATTTTATTAATTAATTTATTCGAGTAATTTGTACATCTTAGTAATTCATTTACTAATGATTGATTTACTTAATTTTTTAGATAGACTATTTCCATAGATGTTAATGTCATGAGATGTAACATAGTGATTCCTAAACTGTAAGATGTACTTTTAAAAGGATTAGGTTACACATTTGAAGGTTATGGCTAAATTTATTCAGGTGCATAATATCTTTGTTAGTTTTGAGTATTATCAATCACCCATTATTAATTCAATTTAATTGTATCATTTGGAGTCAAGAATATATTCTAGTTATCATAAGTTATACTTGGGGTCTAATATCATCATGAAAAATTTATTATTATTATAGGTAGGCTAACGCTGAAACGAATTGATCAAACATCTATAACAATTCATGTTCTTGGTAATAATTCTTTATAATACTTCATTTTATCTTACATTATTTAGTTTTCTTTTATTAATGTCTTGTTATAAATCATAATCATAATGTTCAAAATAAATCAAAACACTTAATTGATCTACTTCGTATTTGTGTAATTTTATTATGTTCTTATGATTTATTGATTAACTTAATTAACATCTGTGAATGCAATTAGCTAATTAATCAGGAGCATTCTTATAGTCTATAACCTTTTAAATTATTAATGAATTTTCATATGTGAACTTATTGACCTTACCATATCGTAAGTCATTTGTTATTTGTGTGTCTTAACTATTCCCCATATATCGTTAAAAATATAATTTATATTCAATTTAAATAATATAAGAGATAATGGTGAATAAAAATCATCTATACAGAATAATAAATAAATTAAAAATATCTATTGGATAGATATATACTAGAAAAGATAGAACCAATAATAATAATATAACAATTATTCTTCTAATATAGTAATCATCAAAATGCTTTTTGTTTGTTTCTCAATTAATTTCTAAATTAATCTAATTTATTATTAAATTCATCCAATCGAGATAATTTATGCAATGGAGAATTTATTTTTTACTATTAATCATTTTGATAATCATGTTTAATGTTTTTTTATGATAGATTAGATTCTTGATTATTATGACTTAACTTCTATTAAAAATCTTAAAGTTATATTATGAATCCTGGATTAGGATTTACTATTCTTCTTTTTTATTGTAAATGTATTATAGCTTAATTCATTGTCCAATCATATTTTTACATAAGATAGGCAGCTACAATAGCAGCAGATCGAGAGATACCTGCATAACAATGAACAAGAACATTAGTTTTTTTAGTTTAATTTTCTATAAATTTAATTGCTTGTTCAAAGTATTTATTAAGTGGAAACTCTTCAGAATCTTCTGCCATAATCCACTCAACGATAGAAATTATTCAATACCAATTTTTATGCTCCTTTAACTGGAACTGATTAATCAAGAACTTATAAGACTGCTCCTATATTATATTGTATTAACAATTAAGAATCTTTAGCAGCATCCAAATTTCCTAAATATAATCCTCCACATCCATTTAAAGGGGCTATTATGCAATTCATTGACAAACAATAGTTATTAACGATCATATTATATATTTAATTAATAAAATTTCCACTTTATATAAGCATGATAGTATGAAGAAATATTTAAAAGTTAAGTAATATATAATTAATATTGTATATATTGAAGTATTTGAATTGCTATATTAATGAGAACTATAAATCAATAATATTTAAAAATATAGGGATTCGATATTATTATTAAATGGCGGAAAGGAAAGAAAAGAAGGATTATTTTGATATTATGATAAAGACTAAGTCTTCATAGGACTAAATAGCCTCTTATTTAGTGTAGGCCATTTTGGGTTTAAGAGATAGAGAGAATAAGAGTGAGTCAATCAGACTTTCAGGAAGTGGATCAGCAATTCCAAATGTAATTTTGGTTGCTGAAATTATTAGAGCAAGACTTAAGGTAAGAAAGAATAATATAAGATAGGGATTGAGTTCAATTGTCACATTAGAGAATGTTCATAAGGAAATAAATGAGAATGGATAAAAATCAATAATATCAATCCCAGCAATTAGGATAAAATTGACGTAATATTATATATTTATTGTAAGATGTAATCCAACCTAAGAAGAATTATAATAGCCAGGATATCAAGCTCCAGGAGATGTACAAGACGATAAAAAGATTGAACTTTTTGATTATATCATGATCTATGCTAAGAATTTGTATTTTTTTAAATGGAAGGACGGATAAAAGTAGAATTATAATTCTAATCATAAACAAACTGGATAACATTATGAAAAGAATCAATAAATATAAGATGTACAACCAAGAGGAGAATTGAAGACAAGAGGAGGTGCTTAAATAGGAAATAGAAGACCTGAAGAATTAAGAAGGAAGCCTGATGAACCAGAAAATCAAGTATATTGTATTTAAATTTATATAGGAGAGACATGAATATAATAAGAAGAATTATAGGCCAAAACAAATGCACGATCAAACTAAATAATAATCATCATAATAATAGAGAGAGGGATAATTTAGACCTAAATAAGGAGAAATTAAAACAAGAGGAGGAAATAGAAGGTGATTAATATAATTTATTAGAACAAAATATATAAATAATTTATATTTATGTAAATATTGTACTAAAATAACATTCTATCATTATTGGGTAAGGATATCGGAATCACCTGCATCAAGAATGGCTAAACTTGAACATCTGTGTAATTTACCACAAGCGGTACCTAAAATAAGATTAAATCACTCATGCCCATTAATTCAATCAAAGAAGAACTAAGCCTCCCTCTAAACCCCCATACCTAAATCAACGTTGTTTCCTTAATATAACACAATGGTGATTTGAGCCAACATAGCATAATATTCAATTTGTGTCTTTCTAATTGTGGGACAATTGTTAGATATAAACACTAATTTGGCTGTACCATTTCTAATAGCCTTCAATGTTTGCTTATATCCCATTGTGATCTTTCCTGATCTGACGACCAATTAAAGTTTTTGATTCACACTTTCTTAAGCAACATTCTTTACCATTTTAAAATTAATTTAAAAATTTTAATATCATATTTTGTTTCAATACCACTTTATTCATTTTCAATAATTCCTAAAAATGAAACATATTTATTTTTGTGATCAAATTATTCAGATAGAATGTGAAATTAGTCATCTTTAAATTAAATGAGCATTTAAAACTCATTAAAAGAAACTTCTTATAGAAACATGTACAAATATCACATAAAAAAAATAAAGGTGAAAAATACCACTTCAAAAAAATGAAGGTCTAAAAGCTGTAGTCCAATTCATTCTTAAAAAATTAGAAGCCAATAGCCATTTATGATAATTGAGAACATAAACTATAAAATACATATTTGATTTTCAGAATCCTCTTGATGATAAATCAATAGTTATTGCTAATCATAAATCAGATAACAAAATTGCATTCCTACCTAGTTAAAGACCCTGATAATAAAATTACTAAAATGCTGTCGATTATATAAATCAAATCAATTACATTCCACTCTCCTTACACATAAACTATAAAATTTAATAGAAATTATTCAAGGGTAGCATTCTTTATTAACCTTGTGAAACACCTATGCAAACTGATAAATAATGATACTAACATTATCCGAGTATCTTTTAATAAAAGAACTAGATTTGATTTCTTTCTTTTTTTAAACAATAGCATCTTCATCCATTAACATAGAAAAAAAGGATTAGAATAAGCATGAATTGAATGTGTAGAAGACACTGGATCTAAAGGTGTTTATGGACACATAGAATAATGATTCATCACTCTCTGACAGAAACGAAAGATAGATGGGGAAGGAAAATATAGGAAAGAATATTAGTTATGGGTTAAAATAGGGAAGATATTATAATCTAATTAATAATTGATGATGGACTTGGATCTAGTAGATATAGATAATATGGTTTGTTTAAGATTTCAATCTTATTGGAATTACTGAAGGGGATTACCATACTTAATGAATTTCTGATAATGCTTCTTAATTCACTCTATAAGGATAATTACCTGGATAATCATCTATTAATCACAGAAAAACAGTTTTCTTAGAGGAAAAGTATTATGCCAGAGCTGCTCATTAATAAGAAAATAAAGAGAAAGGTATTTAATATTCCACTATATTTACCTCCTGGATTTGTATCTATTTTTTAACATCATTTACTATAAGTATGAAAGATGTATAAAAAGTTACCAAAATAACAAAGATTTATTATAATACTAAGATAGCTATCTAGACGATCATAAAAAGTTGATATTTACTATACTATTTAATATTCAATTATTTCTATTAGGTTTAATTGGCAATTCAAATTATTATATACAATATTAAACCCATAAAATTCATAAGCCATTTTTGTCTAATTTATAATCAAATCAATTTCATATAAATTGGAACCCTTCGGGGTCATCCGTCAAATTGGAACGTAACAGAGAAGATTAGCATGGCCCCTGCGTAAGGATGACACGCATTAAGCGAGATGGTAGCTCATTTTTTTTTGATTTTTTCTAATACTTTTACATTTAAACTTAGTTAACAGCATAATATTAATATTTGACCATTTTATAGTTAAATCATTTTAATTTAATATATTAGTATAATGAATGAAATGAACATATGTTCATCAATTTCTAGATATACTTCATATTAAATCAATGAGACTCCTATAAAAGTATTTTAAACTAATTCTGAAAATGTTTTTTTTTCTGATGATGGATATTATGCAGCTGAAAAGATTGTTTAAAATTCAATAGAATATATAATAGTCATTGATCTTCCAATGTAAAATACTATTTTATGTAAACCAATTCAAAATTTAGGATATTCAAAGATCAATTATAGATTCCTGTTTACCTAAGACAATAAGTTTGTCATTCTTATTAGGTCATATTTAAATAATAGTTTCTTTTTGATTTAAAACATTAAGGACAATGATCATTTTAGAGAATTTAATTTTGATTCATGTCAATTTATTTAAGTTTGGAATAATAACAATAATATCTATTTGATTTTAAACCATTAATTAAACAGATGTCTATAGCTCTATCATATTGATTAGTTGATGAATATAAATTTAATTATATAATAGCCATAATGGTCAAATCTTTAAAAGATTATTCATATGGATACTTTAACATAGAACAGTCCTTGTCTATTGTTAGCAAATACTGAAGAAATAAGATTATTTTGTAAATTTAGATTAAAAGGTCTTACATCTATATTTGTTAAGGAAATAAATCATATTAAAGTATATGCTTCCAAAATATTGATTTTAAAGCCAAGATATGATTCATTATAGACTCATTTTTATTAATTAACTTGTAGGAAATTAATTCGGAAGTTAAATACAAATGATTATAGAAATTCAATATATTAAGACAGATTTTTATATTTGTCAAATAAGAATATAATTTATATTTATAATATTGAAAATGGAAAATTAATGGTTTAATTAAGTATATTGGAAAATATAGAAAATCTAAGAATTTTGGGGGAATATTTAGTATATAAAAATAGCTTAATTTATAAAGGATGGAAAAAGATATAATTATAGATTAAATAAGAGAATAGAAAAAGTATTTGATAGAGATTATCTTAAGTTATTAATTTTAATTTTCTATTTTATGTTTTATATGTATTCTAATCAATTATTAATGGCCAATCATTAAATATATAATAAGTACTGCAACTATCCTAATTCAAAAAGAAAAAATTAATTAATAAAAATGTAAAAAAATAGAAATGGAACAACTTCCTAAAGGTATTATTTAAAAATAACTGTAGCTACTGTTTAACAATTTATTAAGTCTTCCACAAATGGAGATATGAAGTGTTCAAATGAATTTGTAACTTAAGTGATGTCAATGGCTAGAGAATATATCTAATTAGTTTCTGATTAAGCAAATACAATTTGTTTAGAGTAAGGAAAAAAGACAATATCAGGGGAATTCTTTTATAAGGCTATTTCAAAGTTAAAGTTAGACAATTAAATACCTCATCTTAAGGAAATAGAAGAAGAAATTAAAGAAGAAGTGAATGTATATATGAATTTTATTTTAAGGTTAAAAATTAAAATAGAGCAAGGTTTTAAGATGAGGAGCACTTAAAATAGTTAGAAGAATAATAGAAATTATTATATGAAAAGGCAAAATTGGAGAATAGTAAGAATATGATAGATGATGAAGAACATGGCAAATCAAGAAAATTGAATATATAGTTTGAATAAGATGATGAAGATTAATAATGATATTAATTATTAAAATAATAGTATAGATCTTATAATTCATTCAACAGACTTTATTAAAAAAAGTACTTTATGCTTTTGAAGAAAGAACATCTTCATTCATTTCTTATATTTCTATCATTAAATGATATATATACCACTCATATTTAAAGCAATTTCATAATCGGTAACCCATTTTTATTAGTTATCTTGATAATGAAAATTGCCAAATTCTAAAAAATTAGGTTATTACTTAATCATTTGTTGAGTATATTCTTAATGATATTTTGGAATAATTTTTTAAAAGCATTAAAATGAGTATTTCTTTTAAGATTATTCTTTCTAGATTTAATTATTTTTTGTTTATTATTATTTAATCTTTGATTTAGTTTTGTTATCATTTAATTTGAATTAGGTTTAATATATTTTTCTATTATTTTAACAACGTGAGTTATTTTTTTCAGTTTATATTTATTCATTATAGCAATCTCTACTTTGTTGATTTTCTGATTAATTTTTTTCTAATTATTCCTCGAATCTATATTTATGAACTATATGTTATCGTTATAATGACTATAATGGATTGGGTTACTTAAATAAAATTCGAATGTACAATAAATTAGGATAAGTTTTTTCTATTTAAAGTAATACTTCTTTCACGAAAGGATTTGAAATTCTATGTAGATATTGAATCTGGGGAAACCTTTTTTGGATGCTAATGAAACGATAGATTATTTTTCCTTTAGGGAGCAGGAGACAATAAAAGAAATGGTAACTTAATAGGTTTAGAAGTTTATTTTGAGGATTGTAAATTGATTGATGGTAAATCTGTATCTGTCTTAAGAGTATTTAATTTTTTAAGCTTCATGACTTATTTAGATAAATTTGTTTTTAAATAGACTAAATAGATATTATAATAGTGATATTATTTTGAATTTTAAGAGCATTTATTAGAGTTATTATATATGTTCTGATAAAAACAATAATGAAAATAAACAAACAAAATCATCATTCATCTTTTGCCTTATCTAAAACATGAATCGGGGCTTTATTTATATAAATATTAAATACCTAAGATTTATGTTTTATTAGTTTCTACAATTTGACCATTCATCACCATTTCTTCCAAAATATAATGAGCTTTTTCAATGTTAAACATTATCTAAAAATAGAAGGATATATAAATTACATCTAATTCACATACATTTTCAAAATATTTATCAAGTGTTTCAACTAAATTATGAATAAATTCTAAATATGCCATTTCATTCTTTATGATAATCATATAGAATTACTTCTTCTTCTAAATCCATTCCAATAATAAAATAAAGAGAAGCATATCTTCTGTATATAATCTATAAATTAGTATTGATAAATAACTTTATATCCTCTATGTTCAAGAAAACTACATTAGGTTTCACTTCTAGATAGACACTTACGAATCAATTCTCCTTCAAGTGTCATTCTTTCTTTTACACTTAAAAACTAAAAATATTATGCAAGTCTTGTCTATCCTTATTTGTTAACCATGAGTATGAAATTGATCATTCTTATAAAAAAATATTAATTATATGGAAACTAAAAAAGTTAAATTAGCTGATTATGACATAATGAATACTTTGGGTACAGGTTCATTTGGAAGAGTCAGATTGGCAAAATAAAAATCAAATAATAAATATGTGGCTTTGAAGATGTTAAAAAAAATTGAAATATTACGATTGAAATAAGTTGATCATATTATAAGTGAATTCAATATTCTTAAGTAAATTAAGCATCCATTTCTTGTAAATATTATAAGCAAATATATTAGATTGAAATGAGTGGGTATACTTAAGATGAAAGATACTTATATTTTGTATTAGAATATATATAAGGAGGAGAATTATTCACTTATTTAAGAAATGCAGGAACTGTACAAAATGAAGAAGCATAGTAAAATTATTATTTATAATAGATTCTATTCAGCCTAAGTTGTTTTAATGTTTGAGTATCTTCACACTAAGAATATAGTCTATAGAGATTTGAAGCCTGAAAATCTTTTAGTTTAATCTGATGGTTATCTAAAGTTGACTGATTTTGGTTTTGCTAAAGTAGTTGAAGATAGAACTTATACATTATGTGGTACACCAGAATATTTGGCACCAGAAATCCTATTAAATAAAGGTATTATAGAATTTATTAACAAAATTTAAGGTCATAGTAAACCTGTAGATTGGTGGTGTTTAGGAATATTTTTATATGAGATGCTTGCAGGTATTTGTTTTATAGTTGAAATCCAAAGGAATTGATCCATTTAATGATGAAGATCCAATGGCAATTTATTAGAAGATATTGAAAGGAAAAGTCAAATTTCCTCGTAATTTTGATAAGTAAAAAAGAAATAATAATAAAATTTAGTGAAGCTAAAAGTTTAGTTAAATATTTATTGGAATAGGATGTAACTAAAAGATTTGGCAATTTAAAAAATGGAGTAGATGATATTAAATAACATAAATGGTATGAAACTTTGAATTGGAAAGATTTATTAAACAAAAAAATAAAACCTGTATATATACCAGTTATTCAGTATTATATATTTATATGTAGATCTGATTATGATACTTCAAATTTTGCTACTTATCCTGATAGTACTGAATTGCCAGATTCTGTTAAATAATAAGATGATCCTTTTAAAGATTGGTGATTATTATTATGTATAAATGTTTATTCTAAAATTCTAATTACTCTATTTTATTAATATTCTTAGATTTTCTATAAATATAGAAAATATTAATTATTATTTATTTATGCTTTATTAAAATTATAAAAAAGATGAAGAATAATTTATTAATAAAAACCAAATAAATGTTTTGAATAACTTGATTAGTTATATTAATCATCTTCCAGACCATGAGGCAACTTATTTCTTGAACATGATTATAACTTATTCTAAAATGGCATTTTCTTCATCTCTTTTAGCTTTAGCTTCAGCATAATCAGCTCTTCTGGATTCTAAATCAGCTTAAGCTTAGTCAAGAGCATCTTGTGACTCTTATAAAATAATCTTAGATTTGGCTTATTAGGCTAAGGCTGCTTAAATTTACTAATGATGATTAAGATAAATACAGTAGCTAATCTATCAGCAAAGACTTATTTTCTTTCATATTCAACTTTTAGGTTAGCTAATTCAGCTTCACTTAATGAAACCCAACCAGCTAATTCCCATGAGGCATTGATTTCATTGACTTCAAGAGCTTCAAGGGAAGCTTAAAGGTTGGCTTCAAGTGATTCAAGGACTGCAAGAACTCTTTCAGCAAGTGTTGCACCTCTGCTGACTCCATCTTCTTATTTGGTTTGAGCCAAACTCAAAAAGGTCTTGATTTCTTAATCATTGAAGAGATTGCTATAGGCCTTGAGTTTTTGAGCAACACTGGTGGTTTTTTCTTGGACTAATTCAAATGAATCTCCATTAATAATATAACCAGCAACATCTTATTTGAGAACTCTGACAACTTCAAGAGCTTCTCTATTTTATTTAATTGATCTAACGAAGAGTTAATTACTAAGACATTATTCATCAAGAAGGACATCAATTTTTCTGACAATTTCATCTTATCTTTATTCATTCCAAGCAAGATAATTTTTGGTATCTTGGAGTTCTTATTCGAAAAGGACTCTATTTTCAACTGATTATTAGAAAAGCTTTTAGTTGAGTGCCTTAATCTTTGTGAATTATTCAATTGTTCTAAGATTATGAAATATTATTACTATGCTCCAACCCATTCATCTGTTTCATTCTTTTAATCAGCAGCAAATTGAGCATCTTTATTGGATTAGATAAGATCATTCAATAAACCATAAACAGTGTCAATGGCATCCATAGCTTTTGTTCCAGTTTAAAGTAGAGCCATAATTTAATCATGTGTGGATGTTGCAGAGACAATGCTTACCAACAAGAGAATTGCAAGTGTGGCTTTCATTTATTAATATTTATTGTGTTTGCCATATGATTATCAATTTATTTAATTCTCAAAAACGGGTAAAATGGATGATGAGGGATTCGAATCTGCTTTTATTGAAACCTTAATAACTTAATAAGATAAGTAACCTACATTCATATTTACTTCTCTTCCTACTCCCAATCCTATAGTATACTAATCAGACTATCGAGGAGTGACAAATGACATAAAAGATATCGAAAAAACATATAAATGTGTTTATAAGAAATAATATGGATCAAAAGTGAGTAATCAACTTTTTAAATAATTAAATCTAAATGATTTACAAACACCTACTATCACACAAACACAACAGTTACCACAATTTGATTCTAATTTCATATGTGGAAATCTAGCTGCAGTTCATTAAGTAGATACATTTGAATATGATTTACTTCTCCAAGAAGACATTAACACTACTAGTTATTCTCAATGGTTTTATTTCAAAGTAACCAATCCCAATGAATATAAATACAGAATAAACATCATTAATTTGGTAACTTATTATATTAAAACAACAGAGCAAGAATTATTTACAGTACCAAAATGGTTTCGGAGTGTATATTAAATTGGATACTAATTGGGAAATACTCAAATCTCAAGTATTAATCAAATAATCATAATATGTCAAATCAAATTTTTGTAAAACCACATCCACTAAATTATATACACTCTCTTTCTGGATAAATAAATCATCTAAGACATTTGAAATTGCTCTTGGTATACCATATACTCATCTTGATCTTGATAGATATTTACTTAAGTTTTAATCAGAAATTCTTACTAACACTATTACAGGATTGCCTGTAAGAATGGTTCAATTTGGATCTAAAAGAAGTGATGTTATTTTAGTAATTGCACGTTAACATCCTGGAGAAACTGTTTCTTCTCATGTATGTTAAGGTTTTCTTGATGCTCTTTAAAATGACAAAACACTATAACTATTTTATAATATAATTGTAATTCCTATGGTAAATCCAGATGGTGTTAAATGGGGTAATTTTAGATGTGATTTAAGTGGGAAAGATTTAAATAGAGTATGGTAAAATCCTAGATCTAAATATCATTAATAAATTATTTAGATCAAAAATCTTATTTAGAAAATATTAGATGAAGGAAGAGATATTAAAACATTTATAGATTTGCATGGTCATTCTAGAAAACTTGGAACTTTTATGTATGCTTGTAGAAATACAGATGATCCTATTTAATGTAGAGTTCTTCCAATGATAATGGCTGAAAATTCTAAATATTTCGATTTCAATTCATGTACATTTAATTTGAAATCGTATAAATTAAAAACAGCAAGAGCTTTTGTTTATAATTAAATGTAAAAACATAATCCTAACAGTTTTCATAATATTGTTACTCTTGAAACATCATTTTTTGGTTATAAATTAGAAAACAGATTTATTTAATATACATAAAATGATTTATTATAAATAGGAAAAGATTTACATTAATCATTAAAGATTTATTATATGTAATTAGATTAAAAAGCTAAGATATTGAAAGATCTTGAATCAAATAAATAGTATTATCAATAAATAGATGAAAATTAATTATCAGATGATAGTGATTCAGATGCTGAAATAGGAATTATTCCAGATGAAGATATTCCATCTTAAACAATATTTACACATAAATCTGTTAAATTATTTCATGATACACCTAAAACAAGTTAATTAAAAAAAAGAAATTTAAAAAAAGCAATAAATCCATTTTTAGTAGGATAATGTGAAAAGAAATATAATTTTCATAAATTAACTAGAGGTGAAAGTAAATCTTAAAAAACAATTAATCAAACTCTTTCTATTTAATAAAATTAATCCCCAAGTATAAAAAATTTAAATAAAATCAACAGAAATCTTTCATCACATAATAAAGATCATATTCATATGCATTCAAGTAATGTTGATCCATATGAAAGTGTTTAATCATGTAGAATATAAAGATAAAATACAACAAGAACACCTAAGGAATTTAAACTTAAATCAGAATAAAGACTACAATATCATAGTCCTAACGATAAACTTATAGTATTCGAATAAAATTTCAAAATAAAAAGAAAGAATACCTAAACAATAAAATTATTTTGAATATATATTAATTTTCTAAACAGTTTTCATAAAAATAAACTAAATTAACAAAATAGATAAAATTTATTTTATTAATTATAATTATTATTATATTTTATGGATTCAAATTCTCCTATATCTGTATACTTTTATAATTATCAATAGGCAAGTATCATTTCATATAGAAATGATCCAAATGATGATACAATTTATTATATGATACAAGTCAAAAATAAAACAAGTGATATTTGGTAATTAGAAAAAAGGTATGCATTTAATCTATAGTAGATTTTCCTAATTTGAAGATTTAGCTAAAAAATTAAAAGTTCTTTTTGGTGAATAATTGCCTACACTTCCAAAAAAGAAATATATTACATTTTTAGTTGGTAAAACACCTGAAGACATTGAAAAAAGAAAGGTAGGTTTGGATGAATTCATACAAGTAAGAATACTATTGATAAAATGAGAATTTAGCAAGTAGACCTGAAGTAGTTGCATCTGAACCACTAAAGTAATTTTTAGAAATTGAAAAAAATGCAAAAGAAATTATAGTGAATCCTCCAAAATAAATATTTGAGTTTAAAGGATTTTTGCATGGAATCAGAGATTTTATAATAAATTCAGATTAAGGATTGATGTTTGTTATTACATCAGATTGTTCAGTATTGAATAGATTAGATGCTTATCTAACAAATATGAAAGCTCCATGGGAATCTGAAAAAGGAGATTAAGCATTAATACCTGTAGGTTGTGTTGAATGTTGGTAATAATAAGAAAGTGGAGAATTTTAAAGATTATGGGTTAAGATGTACAATTCTTAAGCTATTACTTGTTATTGGGATGCAGTTGCTTCTATTTTGCTTGTGGGATTAGATAGTGGATCAATCAATTATTTATATGTCCCAGAAAAGGAAGGATTTAAGAAATTCACTGAAAGTATGGAAATTGAATAACATACTGACAGAATTATGGGATTGTATTATGATAATAAGAGGAAATATTTACATTCCATATCTAAAGATAGAAAATATAGAGTATTAAATCTTAGAAAAGGGGAATTAGTAGCAGGTAATTAATTATAAATTATAATTTAGATATTGAACCTGATTAATATGAATTGACATGTTTATTAGGTAGTGAAGAAAGAAAGAAAACATTTGTTGGAGATAGACATGGAGAAATATTTATTTATGATATTGAAAAAGTATATTATTTATATTTAACAATTTAGAAAAGACCTAAATTAGTTATTAAAATCCCTACAAATTAATTGTTTATTAGAGGATTTTTTATAGATAATTAAAGGAATTATTTATTTTCAATAAGTCATGAAAATGGAGTTATTTTAATAATAGATATATAATTACCTGGAAGAGAGTAATATTCTAAAGAAGTGGCTTAATTAAATGGAAAATCAAAAAGCAGAGAAATTGGATGGTCATCTAAAAGAGGTGAAATCTATGTTGGCAATATTGATGGTACTGTTACAATTTGGGATGCTAGAAAATCTCAATAATTATGTAATACATTTAAATATAATTTAGATGTATTAAAAGCTCATGATTCTGATATTACAAAACTTTAATGGTTAGATGCTGATTAGACTTTATTGACAGCTGCAAAAGATAAAGTTATCAAAGTATGGTCAATGCCTTAATATTGGAGAGATCCTAAAATAGTAGAAAAGGAATAAGAACAGGAATAATTATAAGTTAAGCAATTAAATACAGAGATGTATTAGAAAAAGGCATAATAACAATTTGATCAAAAATTCTAAGACGATGATGATGATGATATGGCTATTTGGCATAAAGATTAATAAAGACATTCAGACACTAAGTATGAAGACATTGTTGAATTAAAATGAGTATTATTTAAATTTATTGCTCTCCATATTATATACATAACTATAATTTTTAAATATTCTTAATCCATAAAAATATCCTCTAATATTTTTATTACTTTAATCTCTAATTTATCTAAAAGATTCTGCATTTACTATCTTAATTTATATATACTAATATATATTTCAAATAGAATTGCTAAAATTCTAGTTTAAATTTTAAATCTTTATAGTTAATATTTATATCATAAAGCCATAATAATATGAACTCCATTTTAATGCGTCTTAGTTAAATAAACAGACTATAAAGTTAAGAGATAAATATATATAAACCTTAAGAAAGAAATTATGTAATTCCAACAAGAGTAGGATAAATTCTTAAGAGTAAATTTAAAATAGACCCAAATCTGTGAAATAGATAAAGTAAAGACTTGATAATTTTCGTGCTTTTCCATTAAAAAAACAATAAAACTTCTGAAATTAATAGAAATAATTAAATATATATTAAAATTTTAATAATTTAAATATCTTGAACAATATCCATAATGTATGAAGCAAATTTTTGTTTCATTGGTAGTTAGTTATTCGTTGCCAAAGTTTATGTATATAAATCTAAAGGAAAAATAATTATATCACAAATTAAGACCTTCATTAACTTTGTAAAAGGAATCAAACTTCAGATTTTAGGTAAGATAAGAAAAGCAATATAGCAACATAACTTCTGAATTAATTATAAAATTTATTAAAATAGCATTATATATTTGAAATATTTGATAATTTCTACAAACCTTATATCTTTTAACATTTCATTAATTTTTATGCTAAAAGATTAAAAGTAGCTATTTTATATAAATAATTCAGTAAATAATGTCATACAGATTGACTTTGAATCTAATTTTCATATTAATTAATGAAATCTATAAGATATAATTATTAAAAGAATATTAAATTATGATAATTGTTAATGATTAATCAAAATCTAACAAAATTTCAATTTATAAATTAGTGATTATATTATTTTTATTTTGAATAAATGTATTTATTTTTTTTGTGAGTATTTTGAAATTAATTTGATTCTTTTTTTATGAGTGATTATATCTTATCTTTTAGAAAGGTTAATTTTAATTATTTAAAGAAAAAATTAAATTGATATATATTTGATTATATGAAAAATATGAAAGTCATAATTTGAATATATAATTATAATATTAATAATTAATAATAATGCTGTTAAAAAAAAAAAGAGAATTCGAAAATCAGAAAGGAAAGGAGAATATTTAAATTTAAACCTCATCTAATAAAAAGGGAGAATTTTAAGTTAAACAAAAGCTTCTGTTACCAAAAAATCTACTTTATAAATTATTCCTATACTTAACTCCAAAAGAGATTAATAAACTCATTAGAACACTCAATCATTAATATTTGTAATTAATAAGTCAACAATTCTGGAATGTAATATTCGTATTTAGCTATTAGTATTATAACAGATACAATCCTTTATTATTTGATGACTTATATTCGAAGTTCAAATTTTTATAAGAAAGAAGATCAAAAGGCAAATTATATCAAGTTTGCAATAGATTGACTGGTTAATAATTTGTGCTCAGAGAACTTGACACAATAAAAGCAAATGCAAATCATAATGATGGAGTGTAGACATCAGTTCTAAGAGAAATTTCATATATGAAATCATTAAAATCTCATCCTAATATAGCTTCTATTGTTTAAGTGAAAATTACAAATCATATTGTATCAATCCTATATGAATATTACCCTTTGAATTTAAGAGATTAATTGAAATAGACAGAGTTGACAATTGAATAGATTAAATCACTTTTTTTATAAATATGTTAAGGTGTTGAATATTTACATTAGAACCATATATTACATCGGAATTTGAAACCGGATAATATTTTAATTAATAATAAAATAGTTAAAATTTCAGATTTTGGAATGTCTAGATTAGAAACATTTCCTATAATTCCATATACACCAGAAGATCCAAAAGAAAGAGAAAGATCAAACAGAGAAATTAAAAGATTATGGTATAGAGCTCCAGAAATGTTATTTAGAAAATAATATTACAGTTGTGAAATTGATAGTTGGTCATTGGGATGTATTTTAGCAGAAATGGCTTTAAGAAGTCCTTTATTTAGTGGCAAAACTGAAATTGAATATTTATTTGAAGTATTTTAATTTTTGGGATCACCTGATGAAAATGACTGGAATTCAATATCAAGTGATGTTAAAATAAAATTCCCTTAATGGAGAAAATATAGCCTATAAATCAATGAATTATAGAAAAATGATATAGTAGATATAATTTAGAATAGAAAATAAATTTATGAAAAATTAATTACTCTTAATAAAGTTTTAGGTAATGATGGAATTGATTTATTATAAAAACTATTATGTATAAAACCAGAAAAACGATTAGATATTATTGATATTGTTTAACATCCTTTTTTAAATGGTGTTATTCAAAATACATAAATTCATTATATAGAACCTAAATTCAAAGAATATTTGGAATTTTAAACAGAAATCAATCAAACTATGAGGAGTACATTAATTGATTGGTTGATTGATGTATGCATTCATTTTGAATTGATGGATGAAACATTACATCTATCAATCATTTATATTGATTTAGTTTTATCAATAATGAAGATAAATAGAAAAGATTTATAATTAATTGGAGTTACATCCTTAAAATTAGCTGAGTAATATATTTCATTAAATCTATAGTGTTTATAATGAAAGGTCTAAGGAATACTTTAAATAAGAAAATTGTAATGCTTATGCTTATATTACTGCAGATGAATACAATGAAAAACAAATTATAAATATGGAATAATAAATTCTTTCAATTTTAGATTATAACTTAACTTATAGAACACCAATTTAATTCTTAAAAATTATTAATTCAAAATTGAAAGTTTCAAATGAATCTTAAATGTTATCTTACTTTTTTTGTGATTTTTTTATTATGGGATATGAATAATTAATTATTGAAAGATAATTATATGCAATTTGTTGTTTATTATTAGCTTTAAATACTAAAAATGAATAAATAAATTCAAATTAACAATTTTAATTTACTGAAAAAGATGTAATAGAAGCTTTTGATAGATTTTATAATGTGTGGTAATTTATTAAGTTATAACCACAAATTAACTCTTTAGAAGCTTGTATGTAAAGACATAAACATTTAAATCCAAGAGACATATAATTAAATATTCCACACTAAGAGTTTATAACTTAATTTTTAGGATGATAATTCTTTTATATATATATATATATATAATGCTGCTCATAATTGTTTCTTCAAAGACACTACCTTCCGTATTTATCATTGAATTATTAATTAGAGCTATTTACAAGACTAATATTTTAAATTTATTTTATACGAGTTGCCCATCTTGTTGAAAGCGTTGACATCTTCATTCAACTTAATCTTCTTAATAGTATGTGGTTCTTACTAAGTGCTGTCTTGATGTTCAATGCTATCATCCTAGATGGAAGAGAAGTAACCACATCTATCAGAATCGGAATGAAGAGTCGGTGTATTTTGAGGCATACTTCGATTCTTCTAAAATTCATCAGCCATAGAATGGATGAGATTGATGACTTTGTTCTTCCTAAACTTCAATTTGTGGTTTTTAGATTCAGTGTGCTTATATTATACATTATTATTTACTTATAGATAATCCTCTATATATTATTTACAAACATTGCAATAGATTTTAGTTCCTCTAGGCTTTGGGAAGAGCTTTCAATGATAATTATATATTTACTAAATCTTTGTTCTTCACCTATACTTCCTATAATTTTTTCTCAAACTAAGATCTATAATGAATACTATTAGCTAAATGAACAGGCTATATTATATAAAATTAAAGTACCTAATCTATTTAGAGGATAAACCCATGTTAAGAAGGCTCTCCATCATTGTTTAGTATTGGCACTGTATTTAGCATACACCCTAAAACTCTGAACTTTAGAATTAAACTTACTCACTATACATAGGGGAATAATCAATTGCAATCTTAGTATCAGCAGAATCCTTACAACGAGGTTTCATCATAAATACATTTTTCAAATCTAACACAGAATTTAATTACACTTGGTAAGTACTCAATTAATCCATTCTCTCTTCTTTATATTTTAATTAATGATTATAATCATTAAAAATATATTATATACAGATCAATACTTTTATTAAAGAAATTCATTCCTTTCTCAAAACTTTAAATTACAAAACTCTTTTAATTGTGATAAATTATTCATTTCAATTTCCATATTATATATATTTATTAATTTTCATAATCATCAATCTACTAACAAGTATCTTTTAAATCTGTTATTTTTTAACACTTTTATTTTTCTATACTTCCCTTTCAAATTCAAATATCAATCAAATATTCATAAAAATATTGAATATGAAGATTAATTTGAAATAATATTCTTTAACTAAACTGATTCACTTAAAATTTAACACAAATTGTTATCATTTATTCATTATGATATTAAGAAAGAATTTAAAAAAGTTGCTATCAAATTTATATTGGATATATTAGCTATATTTTAAAGCAGTCTCAAATCTTTTTTAGATAATTTTAAGTTTATCCAATATTATCAAGTAATTCAATATTCTTTTTCATTTTCTAATAGTAAATTTAAAAAAAAACAAAGTTTTCTTACACAAATTTTCAGTGACAATTATAATCTATTTTGTGATAAGTTAATTTAACAAGAGTTTAACATTTGATAAAATATAAATAATAATTATTAAATTTGTTAAAATATTTGATTATTTAGCATACTAATGATAAAAATTAAAAAAAATAAAGATTTCATAGGAACACTTAGAAATATTTTAGAAGTAGATTTATTTTTAATATAGAATGAAGAATATTAAGGGATAATATAATTGTTGAAAGAAAAAAATGGTTTTAAAATATTGGATCAGGAATAATTTAAATCTGTTATTTTAGTTAAGCATTTCACACATAATAATTACTCAAGTTTTAGAAGGTTTGCTATTTATTAATACTTTAGATAACTTAATTTATATGGGTTTTAATCTCGTAAGTCTAATAAAAACGAAATCCTTTATACAAATGAATCATTCAATTTTGAAACAGATAAAAAACTGAAGAAATAGCGTAAATCAGAAATATGTTCTGAAAATATTGAATTAGAGTAAAAAAGATAATTGAATTAACTCTTATAACTTTAATAAAATTAGAAACAAATGATAGAATAAATAAAAACAATAATAACCACTTAAGAAGAAACAAAATAAAAAATGAAATGTTAATTATCTGTAAAAATATAAATTATATTAGAATTATGTAAAACAAAGATTCAAATCAGATGAAAGAGATAAATTCCTTTTTCTCGCATTATCATTATACACTAACATTAAAGATTAAAAATTTAGTAAACATTTTAAGTTAATTAGAATAATATATTGATGATCTAATTTAAGAGTCCAATTATTTTCCTTTTTTTAACTAATTAAAACACTAATTAATTAAGAATACGAAAACACTTTTTTCTCTTATAAATTTCTATTTTAATAAAGAAATTCATGATTCTTAATCTGTTGATATTTCATTTAATGAATAAGATATGGAGGATAAATTAAGTTTAAGTAATATTAGTAATTACTTTGATCTATGATAAAAATGATTAATTAATATTTTGAATTAGACTTAATGAATATCTAATATTATAATCCAAAGGCATTAAACTTAGAGATAAAATGGATACATAAATAATTGATTTCAGAGATTTAATCAACTCCATTTACATTAATTTCTACAATCAGTTGTCTTTTAGCAATATTTCATATTAAATGTCATTTTTATTATTATTATTCATTTTTAACTTTATTTAATTCTTCCAAAAGGGGACCATTTTCATCAAAAAATTTTGCAAATATTTCAATTTCTCCAACAAGCTTTTCATTATCTAACATTAGTAATTCCTATTAATTTTTGATTGAATTGTAATACCTTTTCTTTTTGTAATTACTCTGAACATTCCTTAAATACTGCTAATACTTCATTCATTTTATTAACCTATAACTACTCTATATCAGTTGCTTTTGTTAATCTATCAATAAGTTAATCAACTTTTTGATTCTTTTCTAAGAGAACAGCTTATTCTTCTGCAGCTTTTTATATATCTATTTTCAAACTATTATCTAAATTTTCAACTTCTTTTTATATTTTATCAATATCAAGTTCTTCAACTTTATCTTACATTTTATTTGTACATTATGAGGCTAATTACACTAAAAATTATTAAACTGTAATACATCTTTCTTCAAGTTAATTTATCTAATATTCATATTATTTTTAAGCTTGTAGGATTTTCTCTTAGTAATTTTTAGTCATTTGTAATTCTTTCTCTTTTAATTATTGTAGCTCTAATTATTTCTTATTTATAGTTTCATTTAAAATATTTTGATTTGATTATGTTGAAAATTAGGTTGAAAATATTAATGTAGTTCTAATATGTTTATCTATTTAAGAATGCAGATTCTCATCACAGAAATAACACATGGTATGAGAACAGGTTTTGCAATTCAGAATGGCTATATTTTGATTACATGTTAAACACTTTGAATTATTCATTTAATTAATGAATAAATACGAGGTATTGGGAGTTGTTGGAGAAGGTGCTTATGGAGTGGTTCTCAAATGCAAAAATAAAGAGACTAATGAAATAGGTTAAAATTGATGTTTAGTTGTGTAGTGGCAATCAAAAAGTTCAAGGAAACTGAAGAGAATGAGATTGTGAAAAAGAGTATTTAAAGAGAAGTTAAAGTACTTAGATTGTTAAGACACAATAACATAGTGGAATTGAAAGAAGCATTCAAAAGGTAGTATGATGTGGGAAGTTAATTAGAAAAGGGAGAATCTATTTAGTGTTTGAGTATGTGGAGCGTAATTTACTTGAAGTTCTTGAGGCATCTTCTTCAGGATTAGAAGTATTAACTATTAATATGTTAATAGCCATTGTATATTAAGAGAATAATTTTTCAGTTGCTTAAAGCAATATATTGTTGTCATCAAAATGACATAGTTCATAGAGATATAAAACCAGAAAATCTATTGATAAGTAACAATCATTAATTGAAACTATGTGATTTCGGTTTTGCAAGAGTATAATGTTTATTTTAAATAAATTTAGTCTTTAACTGCATCAACTTAAGATCTCACTGATTATGTGGCAACAAGATGGTATAGAGCTCCAGAACTCTTACTTTCTTATTCAAATTATGATAAAGGAGTTGATATGTGGTATAATTAATAAATAAAAATAAGGGCAATAGGATGTTTATTATGTGAATTGACAGATGGTAATCCTCTATTTCCAGGTGAGAATGAAATGGATCAATTATATCTAATTTAGAAGATGTTAGGACCATTGACATAAAGTTAATAAGAAACATTCTCTAAGAATCCTCGTTTTTTGGGAATGAAATTTCCAGAAATATCTAAACCAGAAACACTGGAATAAAGGTAATATTATATAATTTATACTAATTTTAGATATCTTTGTAAATTACCTAAAAAAGCAATAAATTTTGTAAAAGGATTATTAAAGATGGAACCAGCTGAACGTTTAACTTGTAAATAAGCACTTAGACATTAATATTTTGAAGATTTACCAGAAGCAGTTGAATTCATGAGAGAATTAGAAATGTAAAATGATTAAGAAAAGAGATAAGTTAGTGCAGGTGTACATAGAACTGCTGCATCACCTAATACATAATAAAATGTTATTAGAACCAAAGTATAAATAATTAATAATTAAATATATAGACTAGTTTTAAAGTACCTAATTATTTAGGAAATTAGTTAAATATGTAAAATACAGCTTATAATTATAATATTTAAGGATAGTAACATGAAAAAGATGGCAAATAGATGAAGAAAGCAGTAAATATTCATTCTAAAATCTAGTAGTCAATAGAAAAATTAGTTCCTGGATTCAAAGAATAAAAATTAAATATGAATTCTGATACAAATAAGATGAAAGTATCAGGATAATCTCAATTTAGTCAATAATAATTATAAATGTAATAGTCAATTAAGATTCAAAATTTAAATATCATATATAATTCAAATACTTATAATCAATTTTAAAAGAAAGGAGCTTTAACAAAAAAATGATTAAAAATTTATATATTTCACGAATATTTAAACGATCATAATTTAGGAACTCCCCAACTACAATAATGTTCAAGGAGTAAATTATCTGAATGCATTTTTATTTTGGCAAATCCCATTTCACCCCAATAAGTACCCCATGAATTTCTGACAATCCAATATTCAACTCCATCTTCAATACCCCAACCAACAACAGATACAAAATGATTAAGTATTGTTTTATTTGTTTTCTGTGAAAAGATATATCCACCCTCATAATCATCTAATTCTTAAGTAGCATATACTCCACAAACAATTGGACCTCTATTAAATATTTCAATTTTCATATCTCTTGCAGTTTTTACATATCCAAATTCTGATACAAAATATCTCTTTGCATGTTTTACTGGTTCACATCCATTTTCATTACATTAATGACATTAATCCTCATCTGAACATCTAACTCGTTTTCCATTTATTGCTTCATATGTATGACAATGTTCTTCAGTAAATCCATTTAAATAAGCATGTTTAAAAGTAGGTTAAGCTAAACCACCTCCACAACTACCTCCAGACATACAATTCAACATTGATTGAACAGAAAGAATAATTACAGGATATTTATTACCTAATTTAATATTTATTCTATCTGATATAGTTGAAGTAACAGCATGTGCCCAACATGAACCACAATAAACAGGTATATGTTGATTTCTAATATTTGTTAAATAATTGACACCATCAACATTTCTCCAATCAAATTAAGTAGGTACATCTGCATTTAGACTTGAAAATGGAGTTATTATTAATTAATCCAATTATAAAAATTGAAGCATATCTAATTAATAAGATTTACGTTTTGATTAAGATCTTTTTTCAATTTTTTTATTTGATTATGTTTTAGCTCTTATTCCTTCAGTCCAAGTATCTATTACTTCACCATAACTACATTCTTGGATTTCCTCTATTGGAACTTCATATAAACTTGGATATTTTGGACCCAATGTGTTTTTCACAATCCAATAACTAGATTAACCACTGGTTCTCCAACCCACAACTTCCACATAATGATTGTTCTATCCATGTTGACAAGATACACTAATATAATTATATAATTTACGGTCCATTCTTCACAACTTCTTACATAATATCTATTTATCCATGTAGAGTTCCATAAGATGAAATTGTATATATGTAGTAATCATGTTATGCCCAACAACCCATTCCCTCTAAACAGTTTTTACATATAGCCATTTCATTACATTCCTCTTTTCTGGCTACATAATTTGTACATGTTTCATCTGGTATCCAATTATCTTTAATATATTAATATGCATTTAATGCAGTTCCAGAAGTACAACCATCTGATTAAGTATCACATGATATTAAGACTTAAGTTGATAAAACTATTTCAGGAAAAGCAGCATTTCTTTTTATTTTGATTCTATCACTCAATGCTCCTGTCACTGCAAATGCCCAACCTCCATTACAAAATTAAGGTGAATTCTAATTTCTTGTGTAAGTTAAGAAGTTCTTGCCATCAACATCTGCCCAACTGAAATTTTCAGATATTTTAAATGCATTGCAAATTACTATTCCCAATAAAAAGAGTTTGATCATTTTTATATATTTTGTAATTATTTTCTATGTATGTATTTTATAATCAATTTTCTTAATGTAAATTATACAACTATTTTTAAGATAAGTTGATCTTACATAAATTTGTTAAACTATAATCAAATTCCTATATTACGATCTGTCTCATTATTTGTTTGAAAAATATAATGAAGATGGTTTTTTCAAAAAAGGAAATTCTATTTTTTATTGAATATCAAAATTCATTGAAAGTTTAATGATTTTGTTATCTGATTTATATATTATGCTAATTCTAAATAGCAGAGAATTATCTGAAAATTTGATTCAGTTTTATGCAATACATATTTAGCCATATTTGAAATTATTTGTTTATTTATGAAAAACATAATTAAACAAATTTGTTAGTGGAATAATACGATTAAGATTTATAGTGTTATAAAATATTATGATGATTTATAAATTATGATTAAATATTGTAATATAAAATTTGAAATATTTTAGTAAATTATTATGAACATAAGATTCAAAATCCATTAATATTCAAACATTATTTGAATTTATATTTTTATATATGTAATAGAATATTGAGAGTATAACTAGATTCAGCAGTATAAAAAGATTGAAAAATAAATGATAATAAAAATACAAAAAAAAGGAGATTTGAGGAATATAATTTATAATATTAGTGAGCTTTTAATTTATTTAAATAATTAAAATGCAAACATAGCCAGATAATGAATATCTGAATACTTAAGCAAATTAAGTATAAGAACCTATGAATAATAAAGGTTATTTTTTGGATCTTGATTCTTCTGGGGCTTCTTTAGAAGATGGTAGAATGACTAATCTATGTTTTCAACGGTATTGATGTTTGGATTATAGTAATTAGCTTTAGAATGATGGATTTAAGTTTCTTTGTATTCAACCTTATTGGGACTGGCTTAACTGTCATTACTTTAGAATTGATCCACTATGATCAAGAACCAGAAGCACGTATGGTGATATTATGGGTGATATTCATATCAAATTTAATTTTAATGGGATTAGTTGTTATAAGAAATGCAGCTAAATTGAAATGGAGAGAAAGTAAAGGAGATATGTATAGTGGATTTAATGTTGAACCTTTAGCGATATCTTTAGAGATTTTAATTATTGCAGCATCTCCTTTACCATTTTTAGATGATTATAGTTTCTAATTTGCAAACGATTTTGTTGAAGGTGAAGTAATGATTTAAAGTTTAGTTAGGTTTATTATTATGCTAATGAATTACTTTGTCTTACACTAGCATTTAGAGTAATCTTTTTTATTCGTACAACTTTATTGAATTCTTATTGGCATTCAAATAGAACTGATAGAGTTTGTAATCTTTATGCAAGTTAAGCAGATTATATGTTTACTATCAAATCTTTAATGAGGTAAGATTTATGTATTAAAATTATTGAGGAATTAACCATTTACAGTGAATTATAGTGCAATGATCTTACTCATTTTTGTTTTTGGATATTGTTTGAGAATCTGTGAGAGTCCTCTTAATCGTATAGACATAAGTTCAAATGATTTTAGTAGTTATGCAAATTCAATGTGGTGTGTAATTGTAACTAGTACAACTGTAAATTGCTTATTCTTACAATTGCATAGTTAGGATATGGTGACTATTATACTAGAACATTGTTAGGACGGATTGTAATGAGTGTAGTTTGTATTTTGGGTAATTTTGTAGTTTCATCTATGATTGTAATAATTACAAATGAATCATATTTATCTACATTAGAAAATAAGGTTGTAATATTAATAGACAGATTAAGTTTAAAGAAATAAATGTAATAAGAAGCTGCCATGATAATTACGATATTTGGTAGAATCTATTATTCTAAAAGGTATT